GACGCTGCCTGGGATGACAAGAACTGGGAGGAGGAGATGCAGAAGCGTTTTGGTGAAGATTACTACGCGGAGGGCGATAAGGAAGGAAGCGGTGACGAGTCAGGAAAGAAGAAGCGTCTGAAGAAGCCTACGTGGGATGATATTGATATCAAGGATCTCGTGCCCGACTTCGAGGAAGAGGAGAAGCCTGCTGTGGATGGTTCTGATGTCGAGATGGAGGATGGTGAAGAGGGAAGTAACAAGAAGAGCAAGGCGCAGGAGAGACGAGACCAGAAGCGTGAAGCGCGCAAAGACCGACTTCGTATTCAGGAGGCCGTGGATCGCAACTTGGATCTTGATATCAGCCTTCTTCCGGGTGCGACCAGGAAGAATGCTACTGGGTTCCGCTACCGTGAGACATCGCCTCAGAGTTTTGGATTGACTGCACGGGATATCCTCATGGCCGACGACACCCATTTGAACCAGTTTGCAGGCTTGAAAAAGCTTGCTTCGTTCCGTGACCCTGAGAAGAAGAGCCGGGATCAGAGGAAGCTGGGCAAGAAGGCCCGCCTAAGGCAGTGGCGCAAGGACACCTTTGGTGACGAAGAAGGCCCCAGGGTTCCCTCGGAGGCTCCACGGGCACCTACGCCGGACAAGGAGGATGCCGGTAAGGTTGATATTCGTGAAGGTGAACCCAAGAAGAAGAGGAGAAAGAGAAACAAGAAGAACTGAACCTGGGGTGCTTCTTACTGTACATGCATCTGGGAATTTTATGATATACTAGACAGTATTGTTCATTGTTCAATAACGGCGTATCGGTAATGAAAGCTGTCTACGCCGTTGGTAGATAAGCTGGTCAAAAGTTACAAATATATTTACCTACTGCATAGCAAAGAGTTTTATTGAATTCAACTAGGGACAACAACTGGTTGACCTTTGTGCCAATAATCTAGTATAACCGAGGTGCTCTAGTACTCATGTCAAGATATGTGATGCCAGATAGCATATTGTGTACTTATGGGATTATTTTGCTGAAGCTATATACTATTCTGCGAGAACCGAACCATTCTAAACACGGTTCAGGATACATAGGAGTACTGATGAACCACTACAGTAGCAACTGGCCTTCAGAAACGGCAAAAATAATGAATCGTGAAATTTCTAACAATTTTAACCCAATCAACATGCTACAAATCCCAATTTGATCACACCCAAGACACCTAAACCACACCTGAACCTACCGTTGCTGGCACAACGGGCGTAGATGAAAGGTGGTATCCCCATGTTTTTTAGCGGGTGGGTCCCGGACGAAAAGGAAAGAGTTTGTCAGGTTTGCCCGCCCCGTCGAACAAACAAAAAGATAAAAATTAAAAATAAAAATAAAAAAAAAAGGAGGAAAGGAAGAAGAAAATCGAAAGACAGAAAGAGGAGGACCAAGGTGGAAAATGAAACTAGTCACATTCGAGCAGAAACAGTGGGTCCCGGCTGGAACAATTCCTGTTTGGGTAATGTAGGTCTCGTGTCTTCTTTGGCTGCATACGAAAATATGATGCCGGCACCTGAAGAGTGTGGAAGAATATTTGGATCGGACAGATACACTGGTCGCGTGTATATCTCTTGTATCTACTGATATAGCATAGCTGTTCAGAACATGAAGAGTGGTGATAGTTGAATTAATTACTCCTTAGCACGCACATAAGACTACTACGTGCGATCTTCGGACACTAGGATGAGGGATAAAAAGGAGTACGGTCTGAGGTATATAACCTCTAGGAACAAGCATATGCTACTGCTGTGCCCTTGCCTACGAAATGCAGCATAGCCATGTAGTGTACTCCGTAGAAAAACCAAGCTTGGACAGTAGCAACTGATATTTAACCGGAGAGAGTATGATAGAGACCAACCTATGGGATACTTCATATTACCGACGTTGCCCGTGTTTGCGATCGCTCCCTTGGCCGCCCCCTTCTGTCTCTCTCTCTCGCTCTCTCTCCGTACCTGAGAACTTCCGCCCGGAGCAAGAAAAACGGGGAAATCGCGGCATGTCAGCCGAAAGACGCCGCACGCACCTGATCAGTCCCGGTGGCGCGTATGAAGGCCCAGAAACCGTAGACTCCGTTTGGATGCTGCAGATAGATAAGTAGTAGCGTAGATATTTAAGTAACTGAGTTTTGTGAGTTGTCTTCAAACAATTTCTACACAGGAGGCCGATGCAAATTTACAATTCCGGTCTTGCAATTGTCGTTGTGCACGAGTAAGTCAAGTACACAGTAGGAGGCTGAGAGGCAAGCGTTTTGCCATCGGATATCCGGGACCAGATGGAAAGAAGGGGCGGTTCCCCATGGATGGAGCGCGAAGGTGTGGACTCCAAGAAAACGCTTTGGTTCGGTCAAGACGGGGAAATGGGAGAGGAATGGATATCTTACGAAGCCGAATTACGGAGAAAGGGCCCAAACATGTAAATTATGGCCTGTAGGTCAATCAGCAAAGGGCCGAGCGGTGATTGCGAGTACACCGATCGGTAGACTACGGAAGGGATGAAAAAGACAGGAAAATAGCGAGAGCTACATGCCGTTTCAGAGGCTATCGAAATGATATTCCAGTATCACCAGTAGCCATAACCACTATAATAAAGGATGAAGATGAGAGTGTCTTCGTTCTCTTTGACCAGAAATTCACTCATAGTATCAAAGGGTATTTCCCAATAATGTCAGCGGTCGGAGTTGGTTACTGGCGCGATCGGGAGATATCGGCTCTTCGTTGCCTGGGCCAGCATTAGCGCCGGGTCCAGTTTTTTTTTGCAAATTTTTTTTTCTTTTCCTGGCTATGTTTTTTTTCGTTCCCCCTAACAATGGGAAGGACCTCCCTACTCCGTACCGGGCCAACCAATCCGGCCAATGGAAACTGGGCCGGGACGCCCATCGCCGCCGCTGCCACTGCAAATTCAGGCCAGCGAAAACCCAAGAGCGTCCTAGCGTCTCCGCTCGCTTCTTCCCGCTTACAAGAGCCCTTCGCTCGCTATTTTTTCTTCCCTCCCTTCCCTTCTCTCTTCTTTTCTTTCCATCCCCTTTGAAGTGTCCTGTTTGACTGGCACTATCATCCATCTCCTCTCTTTCTTTCCTTAGTTTTCGTTCATCACAGCCGTCAAAATGGCCAAGGGTGATGTTAACCAGGCCGACAAGACCGTCTTCGGCATGCCCGTAAGTTCCTACTTGTCCCCTACGAACTGAGAGGCCAGGTTGTCGGATGTCGCGCTCTCGACGGAATCAGTTTAAATTGGTCTTGAATATTGAAGATCGAGTACTACGTTCCTTGGAGACTCGACAGTCTGACAATTTGGCCGGGCTCAATGGTGTCGTTGCTGGACTAGGTGGCTAATGAAAATTTTTCACAGGGATTTGTCGTCGACTTCCTGAGTATGTGCATTCCGGCTCGCCCCGAATGATCGATCATTGCACTACGATCGATCAATTCCCACTCAACGAGCAACACGAAATTGTGCGATATTGATTTGAAATTGATACTAACTACTGGTACAGTGGGTGGTGTCTCCGCTGCCGTCTCCAAGACTGCTGCCGCCCCCATCGAGCGTATCAAGCTCCTCATCCAGAACCAGGTTGGTTAAGCCTCAACACCAATGTCTTGCACTGGCGGAACGAAAATACTTTGCACGATCTGCGGTTGCGTCTTCGAAACGACATTGCTCCGACCGAAGATTGCCAATTCAGCCAGGCGCAAAAATTTTCACTCCGGACAGTCGGGACGTGAGATCGACCCAAACAGATGCTAATACGATTGCCCTTCAGGATGAGATGCTTCGCGCTGGTCGTCTCGACCGCAAGTACAACGGTATCATGGACTGCTTCCGTCGTACCGCTGCCTCCGAGGGTGTTGTTTCCCTGTGGCGTGGTAACACTGCCAACGTTATCCGTTACTTCCCCACCCAGGCTCTTAACTTCGCCTTCCGTGACACCTACAAGTCCATGTTCTCCTACAAGAAGGAGCGTGATGGATACACCAAGTGGATGATGGGTAACCTTGCCTCCGGTGGTGTATGTATCCCTATATCCAGTTTGATACTCGAGCGATCCCGCTAACAATTGGTTCAGGCTGCTGGTGCCACTTCCCTCCTCTTCGTCTACTCCCTCGACTACGCCCGTACCCGTCTTGCCAACGACGCCAAGTCCGCCAAGGGCGGTGGTGACCGTCAGTTCAACGGTCTCGTTGACGTCTACAAGAAGACCCTCGCCTCCGACGGTATTGCCGGTCTCTACCGTGGTTTCGGTCCCTCTGTTGCTGGTATTGTTGTCTACCGTGGTCTGTACTTCGGCATGTACGACTCCATCAAGCCCGTTGTTCTGGTTGGTCCTCTCGAGGGTAACTTCCTTGCTTCTTTCCTGCTCGGCTGGACTGTCACCACTGGTGCTGGTATCGCTTCTTACCCTCTGGACACCATCCGTCGTCGTATGATGATGACCTCCGGTGAGGCCGTCAAGTACAAGTCCTCCATGGATGCTGCTCGCCAGATCGTCGCCAAGGAGGGTGTCAAGTCTCTCTTCAAGGGTGCCGGTGCTAACATCCTCCGTGGTGTTGCCGGTGCTGGTGTCCTGTCTATCTACGACCAGGTCCAGCTCATCCTCTTCGGCAAGAAGTACAAGGGTGGCTCTGGCTAAGCGCTTGATTAACTTCAAGCTGTTTCAGTCATGATATCGGGGAAATGGGGTTGCCGGTGTCTTGGTGTAACTACCAGATGCTGGAGGTGCTGCGGAGGATAGAAATATGCGTCAAGAGTGATATCAATAATCTTGAGCATAGAATCGTGTGATATTTCCTCTTGTACCAGTTGTATTTTACTGCCCGCAAGCTTATTTCTTTTTTTCTTCCAACTGTACTTTCTCCACCTTGGTATCGAAATCAGTATGTCTCCTTGGGGTCTTGATCAGTTTTCAGTCCCGTAAAGTAGATGCCATAGTCGTAGTGAAAATTTTCAGCCTCTCGGTCACCTGACCCAATGGCGAACATCACGTGCAGCATAGCTTCCATGACGTCGGTCCAGTTCCCATTTCATTAGTTCTGTAGCTTCACACCCTTCTCTTGATACATTCATCCCATTCACCCAATTCACCCATCTTTAAAATGACCAGTGCTTCTTCCCCAGATGAGGTCCCACCCCGGACCTCCACCCCAGCCACCGCTGCCGCCGACTCCGAACCAGAACCAGAACCCCAGCCAGAACAAGATGCTGTCCAACCCGCAACCACCTCCGCGACTGCAACCGCCCCAGCATACTCTCCCATCTACGCCACCGCAGAACCCAGCGACCTCCCACCTCAAACAACCGGCTCCCTGGACACCCAAGTGCCATTGACACCCGCAGCGACCACTACCACCATCACAACCACCGAAGACCCTCCAGCTACATCTACATCCCCACCACCACCCCAGCCCGGCGCCCATCCCATCCCTCCCCCAACTTCCACTGACCACCCAGCTCCAACATCCACCACCACCACAACCTCGAACCCTTCTTCACCACATCCTCCTCCTGCCCCCAAACCAGCCGACCCTCCAACCATCACCCCAGCACCAGCACCAGCGCCCACAGCATCTTACACCCCTACACCCACCTCCACGTCCAACCCCAACCCCAGCTACAGCTACAGCTACAGCTACCAGCCCCCCAATCCAGCAACCCAACCCATCCCCAACTCCACCACAACCCCCTACGGTTCCCTCTACCAGCCGCCCACGACAACTACTACGACGGCCACCACAACGGTGACTTCTGCGGGGGCGCAGCTGCCGCTGCATTATGAGCCGGATGCGTCGTCGTCGGGCAGGGTGGATCTGGGTGAAGAGGAGGATGGGATGTGGGGGTGGATGAAGTGGGCGGGACGGAAGTTGGGGGAGGTGGAGGCGGAGGTGTGGAAGAAAATCAATGAGGTTCATGATAAATGATTGTTTTATATATGATTGTGTGGGGGTTGGTGAAGGGTGTTTTGGTGGTGGTTGTGGGTTTAAGGTAGGAAGGGAGTTGGGAAGGGTTTGTTTGGGGTGTGTATGATATATCTATGTTTGTTGGATGGGTGGTTGATGGGTTGGGCGTTGGTTTAGGTATGTTTGGTTTACTACTTGGTTGGGATGGGGATGGGTATGGGTATAGGTATAGGTCGGGTTCTGGGCTGGAAGAGGGATAAAAAGGTATGGGTGCATCTGGGCTTGTAGAGTATCGGAATAACTTTGTCTTGAATGGGCTGTTAGTGTTTTAATCATGGGTAGACATCAACTTGGTGAAAGTATTGTTTATTTCGGGCTTGCATATCATACTACCTTCAGTTAGCATATAGTATTACTTGGGCGGTGTTACAATGAAACACAAGTCATGGTGTATGTATGTATGAGACTATGTGGCCGAAACCAAGCATAGACCGTATATTTATTATCTCTATGTGTAAAAAATATGTCCAATGCCTCACTTCGGCAGGCTCAAGCTATCAATACCGAGCCGTCAAAAAACCATATAAACAATATGGATTGAATGGATAGAAGTAGTCCATTGCAGTTTGTTGCCATGCAACAACCATTTTTCAAAAATTGCAAGAATGGAGAGTGGTCTGGGGTACCAGTATGTGTGTTGAAGCGCACCCCCAAGAACGCCTGATAGGCAACAGGTTCATCAACCTTGTACCAGGCCGATGTCATTATGTGAATGTTGTTTGAATGAATGCCAAAACGCCGGGGTCATTCCCAGAAACCCAAACCCAATGCATCGTCAGGATCGAACCAGTCGTATCGATAACGTCGTCCAGCTTGCTGGTGTATTCTTTCACAACAAAGAAAAGTAATCGTAGAACGTAAAGTATGTATCAAGAAATGGGACCAGCCTCAAAGTCTCCGAAGAGACGTTGCAGGGTTGCAAGAACATGGACTGTCCTTGACAAACACCCGCCAAGAGTATTTATATGATTACATTGATCCGAGTCGGAGAAGGGCTTCAACTGCGGCACGCTCTTCCCGGTCACCCATGACACCCTCCGGGAGGGTGAAGCCGTGTTGTTGAACCGGTAATCTGCGCGGTGCAGACTTCGCCAGCGACGACGCAGCAGGTCCTCCGCCGCGCAGCTGTGGCGAATTATGTGTTCCATTCACGAAGCCTCCCGAGGCGTTCAATGATCGTGCGCGAAGCGCATCAGCACCTATCTGTGCCCAGTCTTCCTCGTCTGTGATGTCTTCTTCGCCCCAGTCTTCGTCCTGCATCTCGTCGTCCGGGGCCTCAGACGACGAGCAGTACTCGCGCTCGTTTCCGTCGAGTGACATCTTGTCAGCCTCATGTTCCAGCATGCTGATATCATGTCCACCGTAGTCCATCTCCGAGTAGGAGAAGACAGCGGAGTCGCCAGTAACGCTACTGCCATAGGGCTGAACGCTTCCCCGCTTTGTAGGGATCTGCATGCCCCGTTGCGGGAAAGAGTTGGAGATACTGGAGGGTGGCGACACGTTGAGGTGTTGTGCATCCCGCAAAGGCTCACCACGACGGCGAGCATCCCAGCGTCCCCAGCCAACCTTCTCGAAGATAACATCACCATCACGGCCGCCACTCTTGTCTTCGCTCCCTCGGCCTTCCAGCGCAGCAACCACCAGCCTGCGTGCTTTGGCAGGCGGGATGCCTGAGAATCCAGGGACGCTAGTAGTCAAATAACCCATCAGGTGGCGAATAGCCAAAGGGCCATGCTGCAGCATGATCTCCGGGAGATGGCATTTGGCCAACATTCCCGGCGTGATAGCCCCAGTGCTGTCCAGGTCATGAGCCGACGGACGGGCTTCATGCGAGTTGTTCGTATGATCGGCGGCATCTCCGAGGTCAACATCGGACTCCACATGCGAGGAGCTCAGCGGGGAGTATCCAGGGTGATTAGCGCCCTGGCGTCTGAAGCCCTGCGGAGGCAAAGTGGGGGAAATGGAGTTGGGCGGAGTAGGCAACATGGCAGGATGCCCCGGACGAGCGGGGTCACGACCGCCCGGGGTGAAACCGGAGCGCGGCTTGGGAATATCGACAGAGGCCGTCTTGCCAGCAAGGGCCATAGCAATGCTGGAGGTGGTATTCATGAAAGCCATGGTGATGATCGAGACCAGCGAGAGGATCTAGATACTCTTTTATTTGGGGGGACCTGAGGGTGGCTAATCTGCTTATCAAATGAGTCAGAGGACCATCCGCCAATCACCGCATGAGGCCAACCAATGGAACAGATGACTAAGTCCCACACTCAGAAGAACAATTGGGAAGTATAAGATTCACGCGTTTGGAGGCAAATAAGGAACGAAACCCGAAAATTGAGATCAAAGGAATTTGGTTGGATTTTTTTGCTTTGAGAGTTTGTACTCACAGTGCACTGTTCCCAAAGGTAGATCACAGTCGGGACAGCTGTGCAGACGCAACGCTGAGGCGTAGTATGCAGGGTAGATGCGATGCGACGCGCTAACTCAGCGTACTACTAGGCAGGAGAGTTGATAGGGAGGATGACGCGACAGGTCGAGACGAGCAGAACCAGGGGCAGGATGATCAAGCCAACAAGAACCGGGGGGGTGGTCAGAAAGCCTTGGGAAGTTCTTTGAGATTGAGGAGTAGTAGGATGAGAGGAGAGGAAGGAGATTTGGCAAGTAGAAGGAGGAAATGAGACGGAGAGGAGAAGGAGGGGGGAAACGCAAGGAGTGGTGGTTGCAGTCCGTCAATAGTAGTAAGAATAGCAATAATGGAATGTCTGTCAGCCGGGAAGGAGGCGCCTTCTTTCGGGGCAAGTAAAAAAATAAGAAAATAAAAAAAGGACTAAGTATTCCGTAGGTATTATTGATTGGAAATCAGATAAATCAAAAATAAAATAATATGAGGGAAATGCCAGGCTTGAAAGGTACGGTATTTTGTTCCTTCAAAAAGGAGGTAAATTGATTTGATGAACCCCCTCTCTCCGGTGAGATACACAGTCACTAAGTAGTTAGTTAGTGTGGGATGACGACCTCCTTTAAGGATGGAACGGCCTTGAATGTCTCCAGTACGACCCTCTTATCATCGACTGACTTATTCAAAGTTCCCCTTATCCATCCTGTCAGACCCAGAACCTCCTTCTTACCGACGCAAGCAGTCCGCCGTCCAGCCCGTGGCCCGGCTGATTGGTTGCCAGCCTCAGGCCCGCCCTAGACAGCGCCGGGAGCTTCCGGGGGCAATCGGCCCTGGTTTTAATTCTCGCGTTATCTTACCGTATTGATGCATTTCCCACACACCGGCTTATCACTCACTGTTCATAAGTTACCGAGAAGTAGTAGATAGTAAGTACTCTGTAGATACTACTACTATTGCAGAAATGCCACTCCATTCTTGGGCTCATGGGGTTTATTTTTACGAATCAATCATTATGATTCCCTCCATTCCCTCCCCCTCCATCCTAGATGCTTCCGTCAACCACACACATTTCCAGGCTCCAAAGAGTAGTCGGTGACGAAGCCTGTGATACCCGCCCCAAAACCCAACCGACCACAAGTTGGTTGAATCCCACCCCCCAATGAGGTAATTTCAATAGGACGTATACTACAACCACCACCTCCACTTCCTTGGTTTTAAAGAGCAGATGGGAAAGCAAACATTTCCACTTGTTTCCATCGAGCATATCAAGGCCGGTGCCTCGTGCCCGTGCACCCCCTCCCCGCGTCACGGAGGGTTGGTTGCAGGGTTCTTACCCTACGACTGGATTATCCTTCATCGATTTTGTGGTACGCGATAACCTTCCATGATGACGGCACGTGGGTTGTCGGGCACCGCACATGCGCAGGTGGACGCCGTGGTGACTGGCTGTGTGCATCCCACCCTTTAGAGACCTTTTTTTTTTTTTTTTGCAGAAGCCTAAATGTAAAATGTAAGAATGTAGAAGGTGTAAAAATTGTGGACTGTTCCTTGTGTGCGGGAATTATGGGTAGAACTGGGCATTTTAGGTTGCACCGGGATTGCTCTCAATTTTCGGGTTGGCAACGTGATTCTAGAGGGGCATCTAATTGATTGACTAGCGAAAATTCTCTACTGCGTATCTACTTACTGGGCTCTTTCTTCAGCCGCTGAGCCCATTAGATGCTTTCCCAATGTTTCCGTCATTGCATCATATACTTTTTGCTTGATATGTCGACGTTCATTAGACTGTCTGTCTGCTTTTGTTTTGCTCATGCAGCAGGCTTGCATCGAATAGTACGGGGGTGTCATGTCCTCATCGGCCACATCAGGCTGGTTGGGATGTTGGTTGGGGGGGAAAATGGACAGTCGCTAACTGGCTGAGACGGGCTCGTGATGTCTATGCATCTCCGCTCGGGCCTTTTTCTGCTTTGCTTTTTCTTCTCTGGTTTTAATGTCGTTTTGCTTGTGCCGCATGCGATCAACATTCGCCCCCACCAATCGTACTTGAATGAGGAGTGACGGGGGATGGTCCTCCGTCCGTTGAGGTTGATTTTGGACAGAGTATCTTTACACGTTGACTGGCATATTGTCAGGGTGGATAACATTATTTAATAGTGTATTAGGATGCTCGATATATTCTAATAGAGTAGGTATCTGCTGCATAGTGGGTACGTTATTTATATCCTAGAAGTGGACTCAATAAACTAGAGGCTAAAGAAAGACTATTCCCAGCAACGCCGCATCTAAATAAATAGTAGTGGTCTATTATTGTCCTTTTCCCCCTAAACAATAGGGATTGGTATGATCTATCACCCCTATGCATATTGGTTAGGAATGTTATAGAACTTTCGATTGCCCGGACTATTTCACAACCACAAGAGAAAAGGCAACCCTTAAGACCCATAGTTGAAAGGCAATCTGCGGGATCTACTTCTGACCATAGGATCTGCCGCAGCCACAGACCACAATAATAAATTGTGGCGAATCTGTGCCACTCTAATATCCAGGCCATTTTAAATAGCCAATTCTACATTGGCTGTCACATACACAATACAACACACTTTTGCAACTATACAGTAGTCTTCGGGTATATGTACAGTATAACTATAAGAGTGGCTAACAGATGCCCAGTGTAGTGTTTCTCCGGTGCTACGAATCGTTCTGATACCAAGGAGCACTTACGGAACTTCTAAGCTTATACAAACATTCCGTAAACATAACCTCTCGTGTAGTTGCATGTTTGACAATATCACAGAAGAAATTGATACAGAAACACTCTCTAGCTATATATTCTTGTATTCATTTCACTGCACAAACCACAATGGATCCAAGCGTACAGCTTCCTTTTCTTGATATTACTTCCACGTGTCTCAAAACAACCTACCTGCTGCTCATAAGTAGTCATTCGCACCTAAAATGCTAACCGTGCTGCACTGGCAGATGATCACCGTCTGGTACTCCAACCAGGTGAGACCATTCGATCCTGCATTCCAATGTCCCTCACTCTGAATGACTGAGGAGAGAGTGACTTTAATGTGTTACAAACTCAACTCTACATATGTGGCTTACAATACAACTCCAGCGAACTTAGGAAGCCCATGAGTTAGCTGAGCGAAGGGAAGTCAGTATCGCAGCCATGCAGCATTATAAGGGCCAGAATACTATACCTTTGCTGAAACCAGGCCTCTCTGGTATGGTGGAAAACATGACACTCCTTCAATACCCTGCAAGAGGTCAAGCTGGCGCAAAAGTCAGGCACCCGACCGTTGTCTGGCCGTTACTTTAGTCTACAGTTCGGGATTCGGGATGTTGGGAGCGCCAAATATCAAGAATATACTCAGTGTAGCTGATTCCAGCTCCTGCAGTCTACCATAAAGACACCAGGGAAAGGGCACAGGGGATCATCTCTCACGCTGCTTTTACTCAGGCAAGTCCCTCGAAACAGGACCTGTCTCTGTCTGTCACTATGAGAATTGCGTCTCACATTAACTACTCGCAGTGGTCCTACCTGAGTGGAGCTTATAAGTGATGCGCTAAGCTGCCACGCCTGGAATTCTAATCTTTCACCAGATGGCCGAGCGGCTAACTTGTCTGCAATAACCTGAGAAAGCACTCCTAGAGCGCACTCGTAGGAGCGGATTTTGACAGTCCCATCCCCTGTTATTGTGTTGCGTACTCCGACCAGCTAAGAAACTAGACCTGCCTCTCACTGGGAGACGTTGGGTTGGTATCTCCTACTATACATCAATCACACAGAGCTATCTTTCAAGCGTCTGCGGGATAATTGGCTACGCTGGTATGAAGTTCTGTTAAAGCTTTACGAATTTCCGGCATTAGGATTTTGTATCAACTGATTCATATAAGCCGAATTAGCTACACAGAACGCTGTCTGCTAATAGCACACAGCATTATATGAGAATACCTTTTACTTTTCTCCAGTATCCTGTGCATCTGGTAAAACGATAGTTGAAGTGAGCCTTGCCAATATACTACTACTCAGTTATATGCACAATTCTCTCATATGGCAATATACCAGGCGATAGGAGTTGACTAGGAGTGCTCGGGGCACAACACGCAATCGCATACCAGGATAGTTACGTACTAGTTCATGACAATTGAGCCTAGATGGATAGGCCACTGAGTCTCTTGTTTCACTTCGCGATACCAATGTCAATTGAGGGGGGAAATTTGGAAGGGGCATGTCTCCGGAGTAGGGATGCTAATTGCCTATAAATATATAGTCTTTTAATTGCATTAGAAACTACAACACTGGAACTCTAGTACGATGCACCATAAATAGCCAATCCCTTAAAACTCAACTAGAAGAATGACATACGCCAAAACCATCGAGATAAACTAACGATCAACGCTTTATCTCAGCCGACATCAGAGCCGGAGGGTTCCGCTTCCGATCTTATCGGCGCCGCATCCGAAAAGTGCATCTTGCAAAGCCGTTCCACCTTTCGGAATCCCCTCTGCGGGGTTCGTCCCTCTGCCCTCATTCTGGCCCATAATTCGCCTCTCAAAGCAAGCATAATGATTTCCTGTGCCTATTCACCTACCGATCGGTCCACATCTGCGCGTTCACAGCTGTGCAGTCACTCACAGCCGTGCGTTCACCACTGCACGTTCACCCGACGGACCAAACATCGGAATATTCCCGGCGCAATATTCACTGCCATCAGAGTAGGCCCCAGCCGTGCCGAAAATCTGCCTATTAAAAGGCAAGTTTCACCTCAACTATTCTGTGCAACTGACAGCCGTGTGGAAACCCGCGCTAACAATTTACATTCGCAGTTGACGAAGAACGTTGTTGCACATTTACTCACGAAGCTCCACCTAGTACTGACTGACATCATGGCGGGATCTTCCGCTGTGGACTATTCACCAGTTCGCGAAGCTGGGCGCATCTTTTCTTATCTTTGTGATCAAGCTGAGGATCTGAATCTGCCCAAGGAGGTGACTGAGAGCAAAGATGCCGTTTCCTTCTCTTCAACACACGATGAAGTTTACTTTCCAATCCCTTTCAAGGAAACCGAGACACTCGCTGCCCTGAAGGGTGTTGAGGGTTCCGTGGCCGGTGCCATTGCAGACCTTCGCTACGGCCCCTCTGAACAGAAGCGTAACGTTAAAATAAGTCTTGAACGGGCGACTGCGTTTGGTTGCCAGGCTTATATGGCTAAGGTCGACGGGCTGTCCAAGTTGGACCCCGAGGTGAAGAAGAAACTCAAGGGTAAGTTGGCTGATTTAAAGCACGGTCGACTTAGACTAACCCAGACATAGATACCGACTTGCTTGCAGCCCAATCCAATGGCTACCGCCGGATGTCCGCGAATCTCTATAAGACTAAGAACGACAATGAGTTCTTCCACATCCATGGCTCGTTGGAGGCCACCACAACGCTCAACATGATTGGCCTGGAAGGGCAGCGTCCGGACCTGACAGATTACGAGGAGATTATTAAGGTCATTGAAAGCCACGTGCAGAAGTATAGCGCAGCCGAGTTGGAGGAAATGAACAAAGAGCGACGGCAGGCGGGTGTCACCGCGTTCAAGTATGACGACTTCAAGCAGACCCAACATGTATGACTGACTCCTACCATATACACGCTAAAGCAACGCTGACAAGCTACTAGGGAGCGCTAAATGTCCAGCAACCACCATGGAAGGTTAGCCGTCTGAATGGAGACTTGCCTCCCACACCCTTCCCAGCCAGCCGCAGCGGAAGCAAGAGAATTCTTGAAGGTGTCAAGGTCCTAGAGCTGTGCCGCATCATTGCCGGCCCTACTGTTGCACGCATCCTGGCCGAATACGGCGCGGACGTGCTGAAGATCACCAGCCCCAACCTGTCCGATGTACCCTTCTTCCAAGTTGACGGCAACATGGGCAAGCACGCCGCCGACCTGGACCTCAAGAGCGAAGCGGGTCGCCGTCAGTTCGAGGAGCTCGTGGCCGATGCCGACGTTGTCGTGGACGGGTACCGCCCAGGTGCACTTGATAAGTTGGGCTATGGCGCCAATGCTCTTGCTGCTCTAGCTGAGAAGCGCGGAAAGGGCATTGTCTACGTAAATGAGAATTGCTTCGGTTATGAGGGAGAGTGGGCCGGCCGTCCTGGCTGGCAGCAGATTGCCGACTGTGTAAGTGCTGCCTGCAACTTAACACGAGCTATCACTAACTTGCAACAGGTTACCGGTATCGCGTGGGCCCAGGGACAGTTCATGGGCCTCTCAACCCCCGTCGTCCCCCCCTTCCCCATCTCCGACTACGGTACCGGCTGCATGGGCGCCATCGCCGCCCTGACTGGTCTCTACAACCGCGCCAAATATGGCGGTTCGTACCACGGCAAGGCGTCTCTCATGCACTACGACTTGCTGCTCTTTGCCGTGGGTCAGTACTCGGAGGCCATGCAGGAGAAGATGCGTGCCGCGCAGCCAGCGGAGTTCTTCAAGCTCCGTCACTGCGACAGCGTCGACCGGATTTCATCGACCGTTCTGAAGATAATGCAGGCTCGTTTCCCTCACCTCTACCGCACCCCTGAGGAGGCGGGCGCAGAGGCCCTTACGGAGAAGTGGTTCTCTAAGGGATACAACGCGGACATCGAGATCGTTCGCCCGATTGCAGAGATCGAGGGTGTCGACAACTCGTTCATTCGGTCAAGTCGCCCCAACGGTACTGATGCAGCGAGCTGGGAGGATTTTGAGAAAGATGTAGATAGCCGGAAGGTGTGATGGGCCGTTACGTTTACTACAAGTACATAGCAGCACTTGGACAGGACCAGTTTAGTCCACCAATATTACCGGTAATGAAACCTCACCACGAAGCATCCAAAGCAAACCACATATAGATAGAAAAAGAAAAGACTAGCTAAGTTATACTCTTAAAGCACCTTACGCAAGAAAAAGCAACTTTCCCCTCAGCCAAGCCGGATACCACAGCCATACCGATCGGATCCGATAAACGCCATCCATCCACCATCGGAAGTCCAATCCATCGGCCCGACAGATCTTTCTTCTTTCTCCCCTCACTAAAGTTATTACTTACATCACCGATGTATGCAGCAGCATCCATTTAATCAAATAAAAGTATACCAATTCCTACCCCCTCACAACCCACCCACCTTCGTACACCAAATCCACATCCACAACACCATACATACATACACTCAACTCAACTCCCAAAATCCAAAGAAATCAAATTCAAAATGACCTACACCATCACCTCCCCACCCCCGTCCCTCTGCCCGCCCACCAGCGCCGCCATGATCTCCTTCCTCGAGAACTTCTACCGCATCAGCGACACCGAATCCCTCCACAACGACTACGTGACGAATTTCACGGAAGATGCGACGCTCATTATGGGCTCGAAGGTTGCCAAGGGATTGGATGGTATGCAATCCCAATAAATGCCATTCTTTCTTTCTTTAAAACTATCAGATCAAATTACCTTTATTCTATATACTACATGAACACAACCACCCATGGCTGATTGATAATAATGAATTATTAAATCTAGAGATCTTGAATTTGCGACACGGGCTCTGGACGCACGTCGCGCGCCGCAAACACACCCCCGAGCGGGTGTATTTCGGTGCGGAGAGAGAACTCATGCTGTATGGGACGGTGAGGTATGTGCTCAGGAAGGATGTCGAGGCTGGGAAGGAGGATGAGATTGAGGTGCCCTGGGCGGGGAGAGTCGTGTTTGATGAGAAGGTTGAGAAGATGCGGTTTTATCAGGTTTATTTGGTATGTCTTCCCCCACCCCTCTCTCTTCCATATTCTCTATACTTTGTCCCTTGTTTGATTTTTCTGAGGGGGGTATATGGTTTGGCTAAATGGTATCTCTTGTGTGTTTAGGATCCGACGGCGCAGGGTGGGAAGAAATGAGGACTTGGTACTGCGGAGGTGTAGGTTATGGGGTTAGGATTGGGTTGGTGAGAGGAAGAAGAGTATAGATGTTGATAAGTTGGGGTTATCTCGTTGACATGGATGGGCATTGCATGGTATATATAGTTGGTTCTTGTATATGGTTGTATACATTGCATTGTTCTTGATGTGGTGCATGGGACATGGCTGAGGGCTGTATACTTCAGTCCCTTATATCGTTCGGGACGTGGCTCTATACATCTATCGGGAGAGGAAGTCTACCTTATCAATACAATAGGCGAAAGATCTACACCATGTATAATTGTCCTTTATGCCCGCAGGAACAACCATTTGATCGATAAAAAGAAAAAGGTAGTAGTAGTCAAGTCATCCTCTCCCTGTCATAGCCACTCATTCGTCCCATATTCCATTTCCCATCTAACCCAACGCACCCCCCCAACGATGGCCCCGTTATCTGTTGTGAACCCCCAAATCCCGCGCGGGATTTGGTGTCACAATGACAAACGGGGAGTTAAAAGAAAAGCAAAGAAGCTTAGCCTGGCTCAGCTTTCGATAGGGAGTGTGCCAGGAAGGTAGGGAAGACAGAAGGTAAGGGTTCGGAGAAAAAGAGTAACATCAGGACTTTTTCATTATTTTAGCTCGAGCATCCGGAGAGACTAATTTACTCCTCGTCCTCCTCCTCGTCAACGGTGGTCTTGGCGATACGGTCAAGATCACGCTGGCCGCTCTGGGTGATGCGGCGGCCACCCTTCTCCTCATCGTGCTCGAGGACACCGATCTTCTCGAGGGACTGGATGACCTTACGGTCGACGGAGCCGGAGGCATCGACGTGGTGGGCGGGGCGGGAGCCGCGGTTCTTGGTGGAACCGTGGACCTTGCGGAGACGGCCAACACCGACGGTCTTGCGCATGTAGATGTGGCGAGCGACGGCAGCGGCGCGGACGTAGTACCTATTGCAGATTTCTATTAATCACGCTGTTTTTTTTTCGAAGTATTGGATCAATGGCAGTTGTCGTACCAGTCGGCGTCCTGGGGAGGGAGCTCGTTAGAGCAGGAGGTCTTGACAGTGTCAACCCATCCTAATAACCGTATTAGTTTTGATCTGATTGTTGCGATTTTTCGATGAAATCCGGTGTGCACGAACCAGGAATGGGGAGCTTTCCCTGACGCTTCAGGAAAGCAGAGTAAGCAGCGATGAACTTCTGCGCCTAAAACCATGAAAAAGGAAACCTGTTAGCTGATACGTCCACAGGCATCGTATATTGAAGATTGTCTGGCAGGTGCGCATTCAGGCATGATATGGCATATAGCATGGCACGGCACGTATCGGCAAATCTGGACATTTTTCTGCGTGTCGCGGCGGCAGTAATTCCAGTTCGTTCCTGACTCCATAACATCCATTTCCTCCAGAATTCCCATATTCCATAATATATGGCTGGAGTACACAATCGTGGTAGTCGTGCATTGCGTATTCCCATTCCAAACCCATAAACTCATCATATCTCATGCCCAGAGTATATGTACCCAGCCTTGCTTGCTTTGCTGCATGCGCCCAAATTCGATATAAAAATGTCGATTTCTGCTCCGTCGAATGCCGATACCATGTGTATTTCCCATTCCTGTCGTTCTTTTTTTCTCATTTTGTCCTGATCGTGCCGTGCCATACCATGTCATGCCATATATCCCATCCATTCCGCACCGACCAACCAATCTCCAAAAGTTGACATGACATGACTTACGTCGACATCGCGAACGGTGACACCACCCATTTTTGCGACTTGTTGAACCTCGAACGGGGAATCGAAGAGAGGGACGAGGGAGGGGTGGAGGGGGATGGGTCGGTCGTTGTCGTCGTTGAAGGGGAGTCGGGGTCAGGTTTCGAAAGCCTCGAAATTTCGGATTCGCACACAACTTTGCGCGAGTAGTGCTTCTCGGTTGGCTGTGGGCGCTTCGCTTAGCCTGTTTGGGTTAGCCGTACCCTAAGTTGGTGCCTGGGGCAGGATAGGCATGGGCGGTGAGTTATTGTTATGTCATGTGACTGGGGTCGTGCGTTCAGGCACAAAGTTGATGCCTTATTCTAGTTCAATGTAGATCCGTGATTACTTAAGCAACTAGATAACGAGCATGTTCAGCATACGCATTTCTCTATTTCATTTCCATCCCTACTGTACAGTCTATGGTATAATTATCGTGATTCATCAGGAAAACCCATTATCCTCCATTACAAGGAAAAAAAAAGAAAAAAAGGGAAAAAAATAACCCGAAATCATCCCGGCCAACGCCTGCCTTCATGCTAAACCCAACTCAGTCTTCCTACAGCGTGGGCGCCCGCTTCAGCCCAACGCAGTATCGCACAAATAGGGTATCAATAAAGTGTTCGTGACGAATTCCTGGTGGACGTCGCCGTTCGAACTCCTCGATCGCTTCCGGCACACTGAATCCGCGCCGTTCGATCAAGTATGAGACAATCAAGAATCCCGTGCGGTTGAATCCATAATGACAGTGGACTCCCACCACCGGACGTGGGCCCTCGGGATTGCCGGATTTCTCCATCTTCTCTGTTATCTCATTCTGTAGTCGGTCTACTAGAGCGATGAAATCGCGAACCTCGTCGGGAGTAGGGGGGATCTTTGAAACCGTGGGATGCTTGTGGTAGTGGATGCCACCCTTCTCCATCGACGCGGGATTGTATACCGGATTCTCGTAGCTGATATCAATCACGGCATAGATCTTGTCGCGGTAAGCTTGAGAGAACAGAACAGGATTGTGTTCTTCGTCCACCTCCCGGAGCATCTTGAGGGCCGCGAAGGTGTCAGCGATTCTTTCCGACACTGGTGCCACCTTCTTCCACTTGGCCAGATTCTTCACGTCCCATTTGCCGGAAGTATTCAAATATTGCAGCTGCCAACCCATGCTGAGGCGGTTATCGATGTGCTGGCTGAGAAAATCTTGGATGATCCCGGCGAGAGTGCGGTATGTCGCACGGTCGTAGATCAGTGCATGAGACGCCGGAGCAGGCAAGACAACAGTCTTGACCGACCGCCGAGATCCCGGACGATCAGACTCACTTGTCATCTCCTTCTCTTCAATCTGTGGTTCCACCCCGAACTCCTCTTCGTGTGCCCGCCGATCATATGATGCCGGCATCGTATCGTGAACTTCGGATGCGTCGGGAATGGAGCACACTCCATCCGCATCGTCATCCACGCTACACCCTGCTCGGCCAAAGAACTCCAGGATCTTTTTTAGCTCTGCAGGCTTGTTTACCGCATCTGCTTCACCAGCCACTAGGAGAACGGGCGTGCGCACACCCGCCCAAACATCCTCGCCTGGGATGCCCCCAATGGGCTTGCCATTGCTGTCGTACGAAGGCAGTGTTCCCCATGCCATTCGTCTCCACACGGCCGTTTTGCTTTGCTTGTTATAGCGGACTTGAAGGCCTCTGGTATCGGGATCTGCTGCTGCGCCGACAAGCCTGTTCACGCTGGTGCTATGTAAGCCGCCCCGCCGATCCCAGTAGCGCCAGAGGTCAAAGATTGGGCTGGGTACGTGGAGGAGCCGACGGAATTTGGCGACATCATGCGGGGGCGGGGGCCCAGCACGAGGGCAAACGGCAATGAGACCGAGGATATGTTCTTTCAGACCAGTGCCTGTCGAGGACGTGGAGGACGCTAACAGTGCCGACAGCGAACAGCCTAGACTATGGGAGATCAGAACCACTCCTTGGCCTGCCTCTTTGTCTCGATGCTGCTCAATGGCTGTAGCAAGCAATTCTGCCAGCGCTTCAACAGTATACGCGTCCCAAGAAGTGGGCGAAAAAGACGATAAGCCGCATCCAGGGAGGTCGATCCCAAAGCAAGGTCCGACATTGGAAAGACTCGTAAGCAAATGATTAAACTGCGCAAGAGATCCACCCAAGCCATGCACAAAAACCAACAACGGAATCGGCGAGGGCTTGGTGGGCAATTTGTCCTTTTGAGGATGCGGACGGAAGAACGTTCTGATAGAAGGGTATGTTGCAGTAGATGTTGTGTATGACAGGTATGATGAGTGCTTCTTCAGGAGACCTGGATCTGTATCGTGGGCTTGTTTATGTCAGTACATAATATTGAAACACCGAGGTAGTACCAACCATTCTCGCTCTGCTTCTGTTGAGGCACTTCCGTCTTCTCAACAACAGTGCCTTCGGTGCCATGGCGTAGAGACCCTGTGCTATCGTAGTCTTCCTCATCTGAGGAAGTGACCATCCCTTCAGAGCGCTTGGAGAAGCCTTTGCGCGTTCGACGAAAACGTGCCTTGCCTGAAACTTGTCCCCAGGCCTTGCGGCGCAGCACGGAAGAAATGACACCGCATCCCACCATGGTGACGAAACAAGAAGTCAAGAAGACGACTTTTCCCCAGTTCACCGTGCCATCGTAGCTATATGCCTGAAAAAGACGAGCGAGTGAAGCAAAAGCACCAGACTTTGTGATAGCAGTGTAAGTTGAATCCCAAAGACGCAGAGAAGCACCAAGATCCACAAGACCGGACCGAGAGGTGGTAGGGGAGGTTAGAGGGACATCTGTCGACCCCATCCCCGGCGGCGACGAAGACAATGTTGGGGATACTTATATGACTACCGAATGGTCCAGGCGCGAAGCTGCGTCGCCCCTAAACAGGAACCTCTCTACCGCTCACCGATCGCCCAGGCCTTAACACCCAGTGTCAGGGATCCCTCAGTTTAGGGACCAACGATCGGGAGCGAGGCGGATCCGTTCTGGAATGCGAGTCGAAGTTCACACGAGCCGAGAGAACGGCACCTCTTTGGCGGGTCAGGAGAGTCTCCGGGATCGATAGTGAGGCAACGGAGCGGGTCGATCGAAACACTCAGCAGCCGGGAAGCCCAACGATAGCGCGCTGTGAGGCAACGAGTCTGGAATAGACTAATTTTGAAGGTAAGGAGAGCTTGTTCTTAGGCACGACTTAAACTGTACCCCGGGATGGTTTGGACCAATGAATGCTGGGTATCCGTCACGTTGGTCTGCTGGCTGGGCCTAGGGGGTTCCGAACAATCTGACAGATCCACCAGGTCTTTATTCGAACCAAAGCAAGGAGGAGGACGGCCTAATTTGTTTTAAGGATTGTTTCCCACCGAATGACGACGATATCTCAATTGTTGGTTGACCCAAGTAACCTCCGGGTCACATGGAGCTTTTTGACGCGGAGATTCCAGTCGGCGGGACGGTGATGCGGAGGATGATGCGCCTGATGTCGCAAAAGAACTGCGAGGCCGGTCAGCTATTGATCCCAAAGCCACGTAAAAGCCAGTTGTGCAGGAGACTCAAAAAGAGTACAGCACCGAGTTTCAGAGTGATGGTGGCCGGAGTTTGGCAGCGGCGGGCGCGCTCATACCTAGCTTCTGTGCAGCGCCAGTAATAGAAAATCGCAACCACACTTTGCGACTGAGGAACGCAAACCTTAACTGGCGTAACTGCAGGCGGGCTAGAATCGCGGAGCGGAATCCGGAAGAGAAGCAGAAATGGTGGCGGATAACGACAGGGAGCGGCGACAAACAACAGGCCTGTCAGAGGGTCGGAGGCAAGACCGTGGAGGATCTGCGATACTTTCGTTCGTCGCAAATTTGCCGGCGGTGATTCACATCCACTCATGGCGTCACGCTGCAGCTCGGTGGCTGACTCATCCCGCGCTAGTCCTTACAAGGTCGCTCGGGTGCCGGAGTTCTTGCCGCTCCAAACACGAGACCATCTTTCGTAGATGAATGGGAGGATTGTATACAGAAATGATCCTTTTTGAAGAATACAGGGCCAGCCAGGCATCATGGTCCTTTCGATTTCATTCATTGTTTGGAATCCTGATGTGTACATAGTATCAAACTATTCCAGAGTACTACCATGACAGGACAGCTGCGTCATTGGACAAGTCTCCACAGCCAAGTTGGGTTATAGTATGGATACACCTTGAGAGATAAATAAATCATTGAGAAACTGGGAATTGGACCAATCATGCCAGTCCACTCCCTAAAATAGATCCGTCATGGCTCCGTTCGAGGCATCTCCCACCAACCGGGCATATTTGGCCAGCACACCTCGTGTGACATGCGGTGCCGGGGGCTTCCACTCCCGCAGACGCTGCTGCACCTCCTCATCCGATACATCCATGGTGATGGCGTTCGATTCGGCATCAATTGTGATCACATCGCCGTCCCGAACAACGGCAATGGGTCCTCCTACAGCAGCTTCAGGGACAATATGCCCCACAATGAATCCGTGACTAGCGCCAGAGTACCGCCCGTCCGTAATCAGTGCCACGTTGGTGAGCTTGGCTCCCATGAGCGCTGCACTGGCCTTCAGTTGTTCCGGCATTCCCGGGCCACCCTTCGGGCCCTCGTAACGAACTACGATAACCAGGTTCTCGCCGTGAGGGATCTTGCCCTGGTTCAGGGCCTCGTTGAGCTGATGCTCCTTGTCAAACACGCGCGCCTTACCCGTGAACCGGAGCCCTTCCTTGCCGGTAATCTTAGCAACCGCACCACCGGGTGCAAGGTTACCTCGCAGGATCTGGAGGTGGCCCGTCGCCTTGATAGGGTTATCCAGGGGACGGATGATGACCTGGTCAGCAGACAGCGATGGGTGCGATGCGACGTTCTGGGCCAGAGTTTTGCCGGTCACGGTGGGGATATCGCCGTCGAGCAGACCAGCTGCGATCAACAACTTTTGAACCGACGGGATGCCTCCGACTTCGTAGAGGTCCGCCATGTAGTATTTCCCACTAGGGGACAGGTCCGCAATGAAAGGGATCTTGTTGCTGACCCGCTGAACGTCGTCCAGAGTAAGGTCCACGCCGGCAGTGCGGGCCATAGCCAGGAAGTGAAGCACACCATTGGTGCTACCTCCCAGGGCCATAGTCATGACCAGGGCATTCTCGAACGCCCGCTTGGTCAGCAGATCCCGAGGACGGATGTTCTTCTCCATGCAAATCTTGATGGCTTCAGCTGCCTTGACACACTCACGCATCTTAGTCGGGGAAGATGCAGGCGTAGAAGACGAGCCGGGCAAGGAGAGGCCCATGGACTCAATGGCCGTAGCCATGGTGTTGGCCGTGAACATACCACCACACGCCCCCGCGCTCGGGCAGGCATGCCTCTCCAGATCATCCATGATCTCGTCCTTGGTCTTGCTGGTATCACCTCCGTCATCCGGCTGACGGAGAGTGTTATATGTGTAGGCACCAGCCGCTTCGAAGCACGTCGAAACGCTTACCCGCTTCCGAAGGAGCTGGGAATACCCAACCTCGATAGTACCACCGTAGAGCATGATCGAGGGCCGATTGTGTCTCGCCATACCCATCACCACACCAGGCATGTTCTTGTCGCATCCGGGGATGGCAATGCAGGCGTCATGGTATTGAGCGCACGTTACGGACTCCACGCTGTCTGCAATGATCTCACGGGTTTGGAGAGAAAATCGCATACCTAACATTCTATTAGAAAGGGCTAGAATATTGACGTTTGTTCAGCACCAACCTTCACTCCCCATGCCAATCGCATCCGACACACCAATAGTATTGTACTGCCACCCGATCATGCCTTGGTCCGTGATCGCCTTCTTCACCGTCTTGGCCAGATCCAACAGGTGCATGTTGCAAGGGTTGCCTTCCCACCACACAGACGCAACACCAACCTGGGGACTCTTCGTCATGGCATTGTGATCGGGGATGCCTGCCGCGTAGAGCATAGCCTGTCCAATTCACACGAGGTCAACACTCGTCCAGAATCTGCGGGGAGAGCAACGGAGCAAAAAAAAAAAAAAAAAAAAAAAAAAAAAAACAACGGAGCAAAAAAAAAAAAAAAAAAAAAAAGCCTGATTACAGACCTTCGCGCCAGGGAACTCATGGCCCCTGGTGATAGTAGAAGACCAACGGTTCAAGACGGGGGTACCATCTTCGTGTTTTGTGCCCTCTGGTACGCAGGGAAATTCAAGGTACTTGGCCTCCCCCAAAGTGGATGACACGGCAGGTTTGGCGGGGTCCATTGTGCAGAGTCTGGAAGGTTGAAAGACAGAATAGGACTACAGGAGAACAGAAGGGATTGAACAGCTGCACTGGCCAATGGCCCATATATGGAGGGGATGGAGGATGAGGGGTGACGAGAGGCTATACCGAGCTCCGTGTTGTAAGTGTGCGTTCTGCACTCCAGAAGCCCCTCGTTCGCCTGGAGACTCGGAGGTACGGCGAGCGAGTGCCCCGGTTCAGTCGGCGAGCAGTCCGTTGCGGGGAAGACACGATCCGCGGTATAATCACCCTCGATCTGATTAGCTGCACTTGATGCTCGGGGGGAGGAACCGCAGGTTGTGATTCGAGCAGTCGGGCAGCTTGGGTGGGGTTCCGCTTGTGAAGGGTGGGCCAGCCATCACCGCCGATGGACCAGAGGTAGAGAATACAGTGAGTAGACTACTGGATATGTCTACTATTACTGCACTGTTTGTGAGCACATAAGAGGTTGAGAGGAGCATAAGGTGCTGGGTATCTTCCATTTATTGCCAACTCCAAGCAATAACTGTCATCATCATCCATAGCATGACACCAACGACTGGACTTAGACTGGCTATGTGCCAGACGATGCAATGCTACCCTCAGTGACCTCCAAACAGGATGCCGAATCTCTACTGTACTGATCCGTTCGTCTCTGATTCCTCATCTTGTACCTCTTCCAGTGCATCCTTCTCGATGGTCGACCATTGACTTGAGTGGTGAAGCGCCTCATCCGACGTCACCTCCTGCAATGGGCTTGTTTTCCCAGTGCTCTCCCCCGCCACCAGTTCGTCCGCGCCGCTGTCATCGCCATCCACCGCAAACCCCACCATCTTTCCCGAGCTTGACTGGGGTCGCGTTTCTTCCAGTACATCGCCATTCCAGGGTTTGCATTTCTTCACAATCTCGCCACAGCGTAGACAGACCCAGCCTTCTCCTTCCTCGCCTTCGAGCTTCTGTACAATACAGACAAAACAATATATACAACCGCAGGGTATAGTTTCATAGGGGTTAGTTATATCCGTTTGGGCTGACCCAACAATACCCCCCGACGAGGCTGACGCGGCTATTGCTTCACCCTCTGTCGTGGACGTGGGGTTGTTGTCTTTGTAGCAGATAGCGCAAGTCCTTTCTGGAAGGAAGGCCAATTCTCCCTGCTTTCCGGTTTGTTCTTCGTCCTCGCTGCCCGATTTGAGGGTAGACAGTGTCTTCCGCCACAGTCTGGAGAGCCATCGACGCCACCGACTGATACCCACGAGCGGCAAAAGGAAGAGGAGAAATTCGGTCATCGCGTGCCACACAAGTTGACGGTTAAGGTATTCGAATGACACCTCACGGCTCGCCTGTGCAGAAGGTGGAATCAAGCGCATACGAAGCACGCGGTCGACCAGGGTCCGATATCGGCCATTCACTAAGAATACAAGGAAGGAGACAAACGCGGCGATCGAATGAGAGGCGGAAACGAGGTCTGTCATGCGGGCGAGCATGCGTACTTCCTGAGATGGCTGCATTTGTGAGAATCATGCACAAGGATCCGATAAACCTAAATACTTACCTCTTCGTATCCGCTCTCTTGGTTGATCAGCCAGCTTTCCCATTTCCCCCAAGCGTAGCGGCCACCGACCGTAAGCAGACCATATAGGGATTTCTGCCACTTTGTCGGAGCCGAATGCACAGGTCCTTTGCTGCGACTATCAATGTATTTTAGGTTCTGTAACGCCGCGCCATAGGAGGCATCGTGGTCCCATATCGAGAGCTTGAAAAGGATCGCACGGAGGGCGAATTGAATCTCGTGAGACCAGTCTTCACGTAGTTGAGGCTGGTACAGATGGGCGTTAGCTTCATCCACGATACATCACCCAATATCCTATCCGGACCTAGACTAACCCCGTAATATTTCAATGCGTCCCCGACCTGTCCTTTCAACAGTCCCAGTAATTCTTCATCTAACAGTTCGGCGTCGACCTGACCGACGCGGTACGCAGGCCTGATACCCTCCCGGCCTCTGATGGCGTTCCATAGCGAGAAACCCGACTGGGGCAGCTTATTCAGAGGATAAGGGAGTCTCTGAAGGGTTGGATGATTGAGCGGCGACGTCCGCTGCTGCTCCGCCAGCCGGGCGCGAGCTTCCGCTTCGCGGAGACGACGACGTTCCAGAACCCTTTCCTGGGCAGCGGCGAAATTTGTAGAACTCATCGTTGAATCATTGTCGGGATATCAGATCTGAAGGGTCGATAAGGGCGCTTGGAGAAGGTTGTTGAAGGTCAAGGCGACAACCTCGAAGTCCGCACTGTGGACAATCATAGTAGGACCGTTGACGGCTCCAGCTCAGTCGGTTGTCCGTTCGGAAGGGAAACAGCCGAGGTTGAGATATAAGCACGTGACTTGACCGATGATAAGCCCTTATAAAGAAGCCTGTTAACTATGAGGTTGGTAATATTACTAAATATGTGCATACAATGACCAACAATGGGTTGTTACTAGCAAGGATTTTTAAGGACGATTGCAAATGCCTTAAGCGATATAATGCCCTCCTTGTCGGGTCTTATGGGGAAAGCATATCAATGCATCCGGTGAATCCAGAGAGCATGCATGGTCACATGGCGATAGGAATAGAGCAAGATAGGAGTCCATCTTCTCAATTTCCCGCCTGCTTGCCGGCTCCACTGCGATTCCCTGTGCCAGAAAAGGTAGCATATCACTTGACTACATGATAGATATGAATTTAATACCCCTTACCTTCGAGACCATCACACAAGCCGAGCAGCCTGCGGTCTCACTACGGAAGTCAGCCTCGTGAATGAGTCGAATGCAACCCTACCCTACCCTACTTATTATTATTGAAGTCAGCATTGGGATGCTAGTCAACAGCTGAGAGCAGAGATCGATTCAGCCAGGTGTGGGAATACTATGTGCCAAGCATGAGCAAGGTGGCATGCGACCACAATCCCCGGCGCCCTGAAAGTTGATGTTGTGTCGGTGTTAACCGACATGGAGCTCCTGCTAGTAAAATCCTCCGAAGGGGAATGGACGTTCCATCTGCTGCACGAGGGTCGAGCATAATTACATCCATTTCACTCTGGTTGGCTGGCCTATGATCCAGGGCCGAAAGACTTCCTGGCCAGTGCCCTTGACCACGCTGCAGGGTGTTCGGCGCCCCGAAACAAACAGAGCCAGCCAGCGGTGCACGTGCGGCCCTCAACTGGCACTGGCGCCCCGCTTGGGGTTGCGGTGCCAAGCCGCTGGGAAGCTTTAGTGCCGGCGGAGCTGAGATCCCTGGCTGGAGATATCTACATCCGATATAATAGTTAGTTGACTGGTTCTTATTGCGTCTGCTGGGTGTTGTCTTACCTTCCTCCCCCCCAGTCTCCGCACATGATGAAGAAATTGGTATGCAGAGGAGCCTAGTAACATTCAGTCGGATCTCGTATCCATCTCCCCCACTTGCTAAGGTTCGGGCGTACCACACTCCCAACCATATCGGACGACGGCACCTTGGTCTTGGCCTTGGTTTAGGAACAATCCTGCTGTCGACAGTCATTCACTATTACTACTAACCTAGTACTTAGTTTCATCCTCGCCCAGAGCCAAGAATTGCGGACTGTCATCGAATAGGAACATCCGCCTTGGCCGCGTGCTTCTCTCAACTGTCACTCTGTAGTCGTTATCGTGTACCTGGGTGGATACGCATTTCACTGCCAGGGTACCAAATAGTTGCGCTGTCAGCCCATGGAAATGGCACATGGTCTCGCGTGCTCTCGTTCACCTTGCTGCCTGCTATTCTAGTCGTAGTACCAACGCCCGCTCTTCTCCTCTCCCTGGCGGTATAAGAGGCCGCAACCCACTCGTTTCGTACTGCAGGTTTCCCTCGTAGTTGACTGCTGATCATCCTCCCCATCTGTCTCTTCTCACCTGACGATCGCCAGCTTACTACCGTCAGAGAAAGTCAATTCACGATGAAGGCTACTGTTGCTTCTCTGTTGGCGGCGGCCTCCGTGGCCTATGCCCAGGTTACCAACGTGTCGGAGCCTTCCCTCTCTGCAATTGAGAAGGACGCTGCCACCATCAAGCCGTACTCGCCGGTGTCTAACGTTCAGGGTCTTGCCTTCAACCGCTTCTTTCAGGTGTGGCTCGAGAACATTGTATGTGCCAGGCTTTCTAAATCCATCACATTTGGTTGTACTCTTCTCTGACTTGTCATCTCGTTCAGGACTATACGGATGCGGCCGCCGATGAGAATATGAAGTGGCTTGCCTCCCAAGGAATCACACTGTAAGTCTTAGGCTCAGGCAATCAGACCGACCAGACTAGAAGCAGATATTGAACGCTTCATAGGACCAACTTCCACGCTGTCACTCATCCTTCTGAGCCGAACTACTGCGCCTCCGCCTCTGGAGACACCTTCGGCATGGACAATGACGATTTCATTCAGATTCCCGCCAACGTGTCGACCATTGCCGATTTGTTCGACACCAAGAGCATTTCTTGGGGAGAGTACCAGGAGCACCAACCCTACCCCGGATTCCAGGGATTCAACTACTCCAACCAGAAGACTTACGCCAACGACTATGTGCGTAAGCACAACCCCCTGATCCTGTTCAACTCGATCGCCGAGAACAGCACTCGTCTGCGCCAGATCAAGAACTTTACCAGCTTTGAGGATGACTTGGCCAGCCACAAGCTTCCTCAGTACGGCTTCGTTACTCCCAACATGACTAATGATGCGCACGACACCAACATTACTTTTGGCGCCAAGTGGGAGCGCACCTGGGTTACTCCCTTGCTCAACAACTCCTACTTCATGAATGACACTCTGCTCCTTCTGACTTTTGACGAAGACGAGACTTACGCTAAGCACAACAAGATCTTCAGCATTCTCTTGGGTGGTGTCATTCCTGACCACTTGAAGGGTACCACGGATGATACCTTCTACACCCACTACTCTGTGATCGCCTCCCTCTCCGCGAACTGGGGCTTGCCTTCTCTTGGGCGCTGGGACTGCGGTGCCAACATCTTGGAGATTGTTGCGAATAAGACTGGCTATGTCAATTATAACGTTGACACCACCAACCTGCATGTCAACGAGACCTACCCCGGCCCGTTGTCTGCTGGCATATACTCCAAGTACTCTTCTGTGTGGCCCAACCCCTTGACTAACGCCACCTGCTCCGCTGGTCATGGCATCCTGGACATTGTGAAGGAGACCTACGCCAACACTAAGCCTACATACAACTACACCAGCCCCTACCCTTATGACACCAAATCCGGCTACAACGTCAATGTCACGGCGACCAAGAAGTCGACTACCTCCAGCTCTAACTCCACCTCTTCTTCCTCATCTCCTAGCCCCTCTACCAACGCTGGAATCTCTCTTGTGTCGCCCAGTACCGGTCTTTCCGGTCTTGTTATGGGACTGATGCTCGGTTTGTTGTGAGGGTGACTTGCACTTGAGCTTGGGCTTAGTTGTAGACCGCTAGTTGCATTTACAAAAGGAACTGGGGCATAGGTGATATGAGTGGGACAAATTCTTGGAGAAAAGCGGCTTTAATGTATTTTACGAATGGTAATGACACTCACGAGATGAGAGTTCCCAGATTTGCTAATGCAGAACGGCACTGAATCGTTCAATCAATATCTAATACTTGCCTTCCTACAATGAAAGCCGGTGTTCGAAACTGCTCACAAGACATGTGACTGCGCAGTATTTCATTCCAGGCCAATTTGTTTCAAGTAGAGGTAGTTCAGCCAATACAACTAGTTACGCATACTAGGCTGAAGTAAGAAGACACGCTATCCATCAGCTATCAAGATCCCGCCTGGATCAGGATAGCCTTGGTCTCGAGATAGCCATCCATACTATGCAGAAAGCTCTCACGACCCATTCCACTCCCCTTAAAGCCACCGAAGGGCATATCTTTCGGCATACAGGGACTCGTGCAATTCACGCCGACAGTACCGGCCTCCAGCAGCTTCGACACTCGCACAGCCCGGTCAATATCCCTCGTGAAGACAGCTGCATACAAGCCATACTCACTGTCGTTGGCCTTTGCGAGTACCTCTTCCTCCGTCCTGAATGTGTTAATAACAACTACAGGCCCAAAGACCTCCTCTTTCATAATCTGCGCATCCTCCGGCGCGTTCTCAAACACCGTTGGCTTGATGAAATATCCATTCTTCGCATCACCGCCGAGTGTCAGTATACCTTCCTTCTCGCCAGCAATCAAGTACGATTTGACTCGCTCATACTGGATTTGATCGACCTGTGGACCGAGGGTAGTCTCCTTGTCTAGGGGGTCTCCCAGAACCGCAGCCCCGAACATGCTTTTAAACATAGCCAGAAACTTGTCTGCCACAGACTCGTGCACGTAGATACGTGAGTTGGCATTGCAAGTCTGACCACTAAAGATCTGGACACTAAAGGAAGTCTGCGCTGCAGCAGATTCAAGGTCCGCGTCGGGAAATATGATGGCGGGGGTCTTGCCTCCAAGCTCCACGTGCACTGTTTTCAAATTGGACAAAGCAGCATATGACTGGATTTTCCTACCGGTCTGTGTTGAGCCTGTGAAACTGAGACAGCGCACTTCCATGTGTGAGGCTAGGATAGCTCCAGTGGTTGGACCATAGCCTGAAAGCACATTTACCACTCCTGGTGGGAAGCCGGCCTCAGCAATCAGTTTCGCTCCCAGGGCACACTATTAACTGTTAGTTCGGCAAGTAAAAGGGCTCTAAAAGAATTTTTGCGAGATTGGCTCACTGTGAGGGGCGCTTTCTCGCTGCTCTTCAAGACTATGGTGTTCCCGGCTGCTAACGCAGGAGCAATCTTGATGCCGAAGAAGGCAAACGGTACATTCCAAGGTATAATAGCAGCCACCACGCCATACGGCTCCCTGGATGTTATGTTGAGCTGGCCGGGGGTGTTCCAGCTAGATGATCCTTGAACGGTCCAGCCTGCCTCAGCAAAGTATGAGAATGCATCCGCTGCCACGCTCGCATCGATGTATCGGGACACCGGCTTCCCGGAAGACAATGCCTCCAAGCGGGCGAACTCTTGCTCGTGCTCACGGATGAGCGAGGCTAGTTTATGGAAGTATTTGCCCCTCTGGGTAGGTGAGAGATCCCTCCACGCTGGGAATGCGGCTTTGGCTCCTGCAACGGCTTCGTTCACGTCGGCTTTATTGGCTTCGTGGACTAAGAGTATGTAAGTTATACTGGGCTTTGCTATATATGTTTGCGGCTTCCGGAGATGGAGGTCAGTTGTGCTCACATACCATCTGCAGCTGGCTCACGAGTAAAGGGATTGATCACAGGAAAAGTGTTGCCATCTGACGAGGATCGAAACTACTTGGTATTGCACTGAGTATGAAAACATCTGATCCTGCAGGGAATCGGCCCTACCTCGCCGTTGATGAAGAGCCGCGTCTCAATTGAAGTCTGGGTATTATCAATCATCATGATGATGCTAACGAGGATATAAACTCGCATCCGTGCAGAACAAACACAATGGGTTCAGCATGCTTCCATGCATCAAGTTTTTATACGCCTCTCATAGCCATGCAGGCGATAAGGTTAACTCATTCCAATGCTAACGATAACCAACTTAGCTTGGCTGTTGACGTGTATAGGGCCCAAAAACAGGTCACATACACGTATAGCATGGAAGAGAGCAACCTGTGTCTCAAGGAAATTCACATGGACTATTCTAATGCGTCTGTATACATAGCAGTCAAGCTCTACTGTTGTAGTGGTGGCATACAATTTACTGGTTAGCCTTTCTTTGCTTCCTGGTACGAAACGCCATTCCCGACCAACTCGGTCAAAAATACTATTGCATATCTGCAAAATCAAGGCTAAACAAGGCAATCAAAGTTGCTTTTTATCTCTCATCAAAAGTTTCATTATATTATACATAGCGTGTTTATGGAGCCAGTCCCTCACGCTTCAAATCTTGGATACCCAAAGTATCTTGATCGCCAGGGCGACGCTCGGACTCCAGCTTCACCTTGTCCTCAGGACCACCAGGGCCCGTGAATTGTCCAGCCTTTGCGAGTCTGGAAAGGGAAATTCGATTAGTACAAACCATAGTTTGATGGATGATTTGTGTGGATGATGAAAGACTCACCGGCCGCGATCATCACGAATGCCTCCCTCCTCTTCTGGGATGGGCTTGCGGTCGCTGCCGGAAGCGCCTGCTTCTCTGCCAGTACGAATGCCTGTCTCGAACTTCCTGTCCACCATCTCGTTCACTCCAGACTCAAGGGCTGTGATTGTTCAGTATATGGTTGTCGCAAAAGGTGGCGTGTGTGATCTTTAGACGAGAGACATACTGGAATCGCTCTTGGGACCAAGGCCCTGCTTGGCTTGATAGGAGTTGAGATCCTTTTCGGCATCGTAAGCGATGCGAACCTTGTCGTAGTCGCTCATAGTGGTGGTAGAGTTTGTTTCTGAGTGTTCAACAAGAGATTTGATAAAGTTTCCTTAATGGTGAATGCTACAGACTAAGTAGCAACAAAGAGGCCGAACTATATATGTGCCATCTTGAATGTCTTCGTCGTCAGGGACACTGTGAGTATTGCATCATCCTACATCATAGATATGTAACGAGAAGTGAATTAGTCTCCAGTCGAACCCATTTCTCTCTGCTGGAACCTGGTCTCGACACCCAACCCAAAGAAGTGGCCAGTTGGGATATGATATCATCACCTCTCTTACATCAAGCCTCAGGCTCTCCTCTCAGATCCAGCCCTAAGTAGTCATTGTCTGATCGGGACTAGCCGTCAGGGTCCGGCCCTAGGGTTTTTCGGAAAGGAACAACCATGACCCGGATGGTCCCTCCTCGGCGGGGAAACCCGAAAGAGAGAATCCGTGAAGCCCGATGACTGGCGGCGAAGCTTGCCTTGGCCTTCATTGTTGCTTTGCTTCCTTTCCCATCAAAGAATCCGATTTCGTGTTGACAGTCAATACTCGAGGCACCTAGCCCACTTCTCTGTTCTACCTACCTGTTGAGTAGTCAGAGGCCCAGTCCTGGCCGTTCTTCGGTTTGGATCCAATTACCTTCTGAACTACTACTTTGTAGTAGTAGATACATCCCTCCCTCCTTGACAGCTTCCAGCTGCCGACCATTATACGTCCCATACAATGGCCCCAATCGTCGAGTTGGCTGGGGAGGCCAACCCCCTGACCCCGCAGAATGTCCTTAATGCGCTGGTTCTTGCAGCTAGCTCAATTCAGCAACAGGTGCAATCGGGCACCCAGCAACTCCAGAATTGGGAGAAGCAGGAGGGTTACTATTCATCGCTTCAGGTATTTTCCTTAGCCTTGATCCAAATTGTGCTCATATGTTTCTACCCCTTGATACTAACACCATCCAGGATGTATTCCTGGACCATTCTGTTCCCCCTGAAGTTCGATACCTCTCCATCATCCAGTTGAAGAACGGTATCGACAAGTACTGGCGAAAGACTGCGACAAAGTATGCGCGCCTCAACCCCCCACCTCGGATCGACACATTGTGCAACCAAAAACTGACCTCCTCAAGTGCCATTAAGAAGGAAGAAAAGGAACGGATAAAGACTAGGGCCTTACAGGCGGGTGTCGTCGAGCCGGCTCCTCTTCTGGCTCTTCACAATGCGTTGATGATTGCTAAGATCATGCGCTATGAATTCCCTCAGGACTGGTGAGTGCTGACGCGCTGGGATTTGGCTTGTATTGTACGTACTGACGGTGTCTAGGCCGGATGGGATCACCTCCCTCATTGCTCTCCTCCGCTCTTCTACCCAGCCTGGCGCAAACCCGTTGCAATTGCCCCGGACCCTTATCATCCTCCTACAGATTATCAAAGAGCTTTCAACGGCTCGGCTGCAAAGAACCCGCGCGAACCTACAATCCGTCTCTCCAGAAATCTTCCATCTGCTGGGGAGCATATACGTGGACAAGGTGAACAGTTGGGCTTCTTTCCTGGAGCAAGGGGGCTTTGATGAGGCAACGTTGCTAGATGTGATCGAACAAAGCCTAGTGTCTCTTAAGGTCATCCGGCGTCTTGTTATCGCCGGATATGAACACCCAAACCGCGATAAGGATGTCCGTGACTTCTGGGTTCTGACCCATTCCCACTTCAGTAGATTCCTGGGATTTATCAATGGCCCCGCTACAATGTCAGAGCAAATCCATAGGGCAGTTGAGAAGCACCTGTTGCAACTTTCCAAGCTTCACGTGGAAATGGCCAAGGATCGCCCGGCATCTTTCGCGTTGCTCCCGGACAGTATACCGCTCGTCCAGTCCTACTGGACCTTAGTAGTCAAGTTGGGAGAGAATTACAGTCAATTGGGCGGGGACGGTGAGCCGGAGGGAAAGTCCTTGATGGAGAAGACCGGCCTCAGGGCTCTCCTTCTAATCAGGGCTTGTTCCAAGATGGCCTTTAACCCGGCACAGACATTCAAGTACCAAACTCCGCAAGACAAGGAGGAGAAGAAACAGTCTGTGGAACTCATCAAAGCCCAACTGTTCACCCATGACTTCGTCGTTAATGTCATGGAGCTTCTCGTCACCCAATTCTTCCGATTTAGGAAGAATGACTTTCAGGAATGGGAGGAGGATCCTGAGGAGTGGGAGAGGAAGGAGGAGGATATTGCCGAGGCCTGGGAATTCTCCATCCGGTCGTGCTCCGAGAAGCTCTTCCTTGACCTCGTCATTCACTTCAAGGAGTTGCTCATCCCGCGTCTTCTGACGGTCTTCTACAACTTCGCAAGTAAGCATCCAACATCGAGCCGTGTCGAAATAACCTCACTAACGATCTCGATAGGCCCTGATAACCGCGACGTCCTGTTGAAGGATTCCCTGTACGCTGCCATTGGCCTGTCTGCAGCCAGTCTGGAACAACACTTGGACTTCAACAAGTTCCTTGAGACAACGCTTGTGCCTGAAGTCCAGATCCAGGAACAGGGATACAATGTCCTCCGGAGAAGAATAGCCATCGTCTTGGGCCAGTGGGTCCCGGTAAAATCCAGTGAGCTCAACAGGAACGCCATCTACCAGATCTTCCAGCACCTCCTCAGCAAGCAAGATCCGTTAAACGACCTGGTGGTCCGCATTACCGCCGGACGGCAGCTCAAGAACGTGCTCGACCCCTTCGAGTTCTCCCCTACTGAGTTCCTGCCGTATGCACCGGCCATCCTGCAAGACCTAATGTCCCTCGTCCAAGAAGTCGAACTTTCGGAGACCAAGATGGGGCTTCTTGACACGGTCCGTATGGCAGTTGTAAAGATGGAAGACCACGTATGTGTCATCCTCACCCAACCTAGTCCCTACCTCTAACAACAGAATAGATCGCACCCTTCTCCGACCAAATCCTGTCCCTTCTTCCCCCGCTATGGGAGAGTTCCGGCGAGGAGCACCTGATGAAGCAAGCTATCCTAACGCTGCTTTCGTCCCTGATCCACTCCCTCAAGCAGGAATCCGTCAGATACCACTCCCTGATCCTGCCTCTCATCCAGAACTCCGTGGAACCAGGCTCTGTAAGCATACCCTCATTCCTCAACAAACCCACCCAACCCATCTAACCACACCCCCAAGGAAACTCTCATCTACCTTCTCGACGAAGCCCTCGACCTCTGGTCTGCCATCCTAATGCAAACGCCCGCCCCGGCCTCCCCCGAAATCCTCTCTCTCATCCCCGCGCTCTTCCCCATCTTCGAAGCCGCCACCGACAGCGTCCCACAGGCCCTCCAAATCGCCGAATCCTACATCCTGCTCGCCCCGCAAGAAATCCTCAGCGACCGCATCCGCTTCCCCCTCCTCGTCTCCTTCGAAACCCTCCTCAAACTCACCACCAAGCAACGCCTCGGCGTCGTCCCCCGCCTCGTAGAACTACTCCTCCGCGGCGCCAACACCGTCGACAACGGCAGCGAAACCACCTACAGCATAATCACACGCTCCCTCCTCGACAGCTCCTTCCTCCCGGCCCTTCTCGAAGGCCTCCACTCCGCCCACGAAGCAAGCCAAACCACCGGCCCGAACCGCAAACAAACCTCCGTCTACGGCGTCGTCGAAACAGACTACTTCTCCGTCCTGGCGCGTCTCGCTCTCGCCTACCCCAAGATCTTCACGTCCGCCGTCTCCGCCGCCACCAACAGCCCCGAAGAAACCGTCCTCTCATGGCTCCTCACAGAATGGTTCCTCCACTACGACAACATCGGCAGCTCCACCCAGAAGAAACTCCACGCCCTGGCCCTCACCCAACTTCTCACCCTCAATGGACCGGACTCTCAGCCCCCGCCTTATCTTCTCAATAACCTTCAGTCCTATCTCACCATGTGGACTGACATCGTCACTGAACTTGCCGAAGGCACAGATGGCAGTGGGGCTAATCCCGACGATCCCCGCGGAGGCAGCGACTATCTGATCTACTGGAATAATGCCCAGACGGGAGCGGCCGATGAGCATGAGCCGCCGGAGAATGTGCGGCGACGGGAATGGGATGAGTCGGATGTGCTGCATAAGGTCAACATTAGGGACTTTATCCGTGAAAGGCTTCATTCGTTGATTGTGGGATGTGGCGGCGAGCAGAGGTTCCAGGAGGAGTGGTTGCTTAATGTTGATCGGGAGGTGGTTGCTTCGTTTGGGGCTTTGGGGTTGTTGTAGATCTGAAAAGGGAGGAGTGAATTAGGTTGAGGTTATGTGTGGTAAGAAGGGAGGATACGAAGAGAGAGGTGATTTGATATGTGTGTTTGTGTTCGCCCGTGTCATATCGTCTACTGGACAATAACTTGCATCTTTATGGGATAGCATACTTACATAGTTGAATACCCCTTGCATAGATAGTAGCTCTGACTTTAGAGCTGAGAAATGAAATTACCATGCGAGACTGATCTTGTTTGTTTAAGTAGTGTAGAGGAAGAGCAAGGAAGAAAGGGATAAGCAGTGCAGGTCTCAACAAACATCAGCACGAGAGGGGATAAGCCCCAACTATGAATCATGACGCATATGAAAGAATGACAAAGGATATCTTGGGGAGTAATATCCAAACGCTCAATCGCCAAATTAGTCTTTCAAGAGCACTGATGAGGGTATTGTCTATCAGTAGGGGAGGTAGGAAAGAGTTGGTTAGCGAGAAGGTCTTGCATGTCCCATCCCGGGGCACCCTCGGTCTTCCAAGTCCAGAAGAGCCATCCACTCTTCATCTCGTAAGCCTCCAACTGAGCCTCAATGTAGCGACGGGTATTCGCTTTCTCATCAGCTGAGAAGTCAGCCACAGAACCAGTACTCTTGCCGGTGCAGTCACCATACTTGGTGGTGGACATGTATGTGCCATCGTAGCGAGCGGCATTACCAATGCCGTTGAGATACTTGGCACAATCGGTTAGAGCACCGGTCCACTCACCCACGACGACAGGCTTGTCTGATTGCATTGTGTGTTGTGTGGCGAGAGAACACGCCGTTTTGACATGGTCATCGATGCTCATGGAAAGCAAGCCGGTGTCAAAGACTTGATAGTGATGCGTATCCATGACAACATTGCTACCTTGCATGAACCCGTTCCAGGACTCCACAGGCTGAAAGCCGTCCGACATGAACAAAGCAGTAGAGGGGTTGAGACGCTGGACATCGGCCAAAGCACCGTAGTAGTAGTTCTTGAGGCCATCCTCGTTTACGCCACCGGGGATGTTGGGTTCGTTGACGGCCTCGATCGCCGTGACGGTATCGGACTGAGCGTAGCGCCTTGCAAGAGCATCGAATGCGGTCATAGTTTGGTTGACTGTGTCCCCTTGCTGCCACTGGATGGGACCTCGATGTCCACTATTGTCAAATCCGTTTTGAGAGCCCGGTGCTATGTTTTTGTCAGAAGACCCAAAGATGAGATGCACGAGAAATCACATAACTTACCACCGTGCAGATCAACAAGAACTTTGAGGCCAGCAGCTCTAGCCCAGGTGACCGCCTGGTCGAGATAGTCGATCTGACCGCTGACATACGGCTCACCATCAATGGGAGCAACGGCCCAGTATCCAATAGGAATGCGGACATGATTCGGTCCTGCCTGAGCCATACGGTCAAAGTCACTTTGCGTGACGAACGAGCTCCAGTGAGACGACAATTTAGCCTGGGCTTCATCTTTGCCCAATATCTGACACAGTGTCCATTCATCTACCGCACCACCTCCAGTACTGTCATAGAGTGAAGGTGTAATCCAAGGCTCGGTCACCAGCCAGCCACCCAGATTGACACCTCGGACTATCTGGCTCTTGTAATCAAAGGAGCTCGAGGCGCCTTGCCGGCGGCTATACTCAACAGTAAGCCAATGACTATGAACAGAAGGGGAAGACTTGATGTATCCGGCACAACTTACACTCGTGGCACAGCTTGTGCACTAGCAGCCAAAAGAGACAACGCCAAAAGCGCCTTCTTTGCGCTTTCCACAAACATATTGAAGATACGGTTCCGTAGAGTATTCAGCGAAATATATCAGAAGGCTGGGATAGAACAATGCCGTCTATGGGAAGCCAGGACCGGATAGAATGGAATGCGCCTGGTTTAAGTAAACGGAGGCTGAACACGCTGGCTGTCAATTGACCGCAAGCAAACGACAAGCCGTCTCCCAGATCTGGATCGCTAACTGATCTACAGAATCTTAATATCAACTGGTCTGTTTGCAGATGCCGATCTCCAAGTCAACCTCGACCTCCGCACTTGATCGTGAACTGGGACCCACCGAAAACAGACGCACGACAAAGCGGTGCCCGTAAGGATAGTAGATAAGGTTGGGGGAGAATGATCCACTATAGAAAATGTGGAGAACAGATTGCCTCTGTTTTCCTGTGTCGTCGACGATGTTACAGCACCGCAATGACAACAGAAAGCTGTCTAGACCTGGCTCTGAATCAAGACTTATTGATGTGCTGGATATTGATTCAGGCCGGCTGCATGAAAAATACAGGATACGTGGGCTTAGGCAAAGTGAAGTCACTCTGACAGGGCAATAGATTTAAAGAATATAAACAGTGGAAAGGGGGGAGAGAAAATGAGCACTGGTGATATAAGAGTGAGCCGGACACTCGCAGTCAAGATTGCTAGGTGCTCGCCCATCTATGGTTTGGAGGAGGGAGTCTACCAGATCATTTCAGCTCGTTGAGGAAGGAACGGTCCGGCCAAGGCTCGTTCTCAAGGCACAGATGCGGCATCAGCATCGTTTTGGGCATTTGCAGCCACTGTAGGCCAGGGGAGGCAAGGTATACACTCTGCCGCGGTGTAACATTTTCACCAATAACCCAGCTCATAACTGCAGTAGCCTTACATGTAGCCAGGGGTCAATGCAACTGCTATGCAGTGCGCATGACCCGGGGTATCATCGCCATGAGCAACCACCGTCCTTTTCATCCGTATGGAGTGGTTCGATGCCAATTGTTGCGTACTATTGTGGGGGTGGGTAACATCTCCGCGTGAACAATGCGGCAAGTCATTGTGCGATGCTCGATCCGGCGAGCATCCAAAGGACGAGGATACAGAACCGGACGGCAACAACCAGAAAATAGCGCCGAGCCAAGACGAGGAAAGTATCGAAGGGAAAGGAATGAGGGAAGCAAAGGTTAAAAATCCAAGAGCAACTTAGTAAAGACTACGGATCCGGTGACACCATCACGTGGCCCCCATCCAAGCTGGAACTTTTGCTCCCCGCGAGAAACAATTTGCGTCTGCATCATTGCGACGCATAAATGTCCCCAATTGGTCCATGGTACCAGATCAGGAGTCTAAACGAGTGACCGGCTCAACCACCCTGCCAAGGAACTTACTTCAACCTCCTTCCCAGGCACGCCCCAGGAGTTCGCGTCAGGCAACAGCAATTAATGACTAACAGCTTTCTCTCAGTTAGTTATTCCCTCCGAACTCCATACCTTCAGCCACAGTGGATTCAAACGGTCAATAGTTGCATGAAGTGGACGAACACCCGAATGATTAGGGGTGGTTTCTCCATCGTCTCTCATACAGTATACTCTACGACCAATAGAATCAATAGTACGGGGATTGTTATTATATTTCAGGGGAACGGAGGCCCCCTCACAACCTGATGCTCACTAGCGAAACAGTGGAATCCAGTCCCAATTCATCTAGAAGCCTGTTTAACAGGCCCCCTGGACGAATCATCAGTTCAAATCAACTTCATTGGGCTCGGATCAAAAACTAAAAGCGGCTTCCTTCTTCGAAGCTAGGAGGCGGATACTAATGCGGAGAATTGCCCGGTTGACGTATGCGGCTGGGGACCAGGCCGAGCCACTTATGGAGAAAGCCATGCTGCTAATTATACGGAAGAGAACGGAGGGCTAGAGAGCCACCACGTCTGGGAAATGTCCTGCCCCTGAGCATAGTGACGATGAACAACCCAACTGCCGACGCTAAGTCGGCTCAGAGATCCGGTCTGCATCGCCGCCATCCCGCCTAGTGGCCTTCTTTGTGGCAAACTTGGCTGGGCGGACGCTGCTATCCCCCTATTCAGATGCGCGTTACTGGCTCTCCGGAACTAGACGGTGGATGAGGATCCTAAGCCAAGGTCAAGCACAAGGGCCATATGGATGAGTAGGCTGTGGTAGGACCTCACGAACTTGTGGGTGCAAGCTTCATGTCCCGGTTTACCCACCTTTCTGCTCTCGATTTAGATAGATGCTGTGTCTGTTTACTGTTGCCCCCCTTAAGCCTCGACTATTATATCTGCCATTACTAAAATTTAATATCCGGGTTTCTCGGAACTCGGAACTACGCACCGGAAAACTCAAGAGTAGCACATCTACGTACGACTTCTACTCCGCTCCTGCTATTAGTCGGGGTCGAAGTAGGACCATCAAGACAATAGCAAGTGTCTGACGGTGGTTTCAGACAGGCCGATCGTGGCGACAGCGGCGTTGTTATCTGTAATCACGAGTATCAACAAAAGAAAGAGCGGTGACAGACCTGTCAGTGCGCACGCATGTAGCGACACAATTCTTCGGTACCGATGCTCCTGTAATCTGTGCCTGTAGATCAGACCCGTGATCTCACCTACAAACGTTTTACCTAGTCAGGACCAAGGACAGTAGGTGAACTGGGATGGCAGAGCAAGAAGTGATTGGGGGAGGACCCCCAATGGAAGGCAAATGGAAAAGAGTGCGACGTTCTTTATTGAGATCTCAGTTAAGATCTAGCGAACGGAACTGTTGTTGATCAGCGAATAGAGACCATGGATCTTACTTAAGATGGACAGTTAACGGTAGGGACTACCACATTCTTCTTGGCGGCCGCCCGCATCTCGGAAGCAACCAACTCACAATGTACTGATGCGTAGCGACTAGTGAGCTAGGGGTCAGATAACCATATTCGGACATCAGGCCTTTTTGTCCGGCCGAGTCGGCGCAGACGTGATGGGATTTACTCCAAATTAGCCATTCCACTTGCAAGGGGAAAGAATACCCGTCAGTGGAATTTATTTGCCGGGTATAACCAGCGTATCGCATTGTGTAGCAGGTACCCATTTGCGGGTGGACCGACCCATTCGTTTCAACGGCACTGGACGGCAGCGGACCGGAAGTCTGCGAGGCTTGCCTCGAACACACGGGAACCTCCTCTCTCGTATACTGCCCACGGCCTTGTAGCCATTCACGGAAATTGTATTCAACTGAAAGGACGTGAGTAATATGACTACCCACGGTCTGCAAGGAAAAGACCATCCGGGAAGCTTGTAATCTGTGGAGCTGGAACATCATATTTGGTTGCCCAAGATGGTTTGCCAAAGCGGACGGCTACTATGGGGCACCATTTCATTAGCATTACGACTCCACAGGAAAGGAAGAGGATACTGCCTGGGCAGACACTATTACGGCGTTGGAGCAGAAATAGAGCCATACGCACGCTGAACTAGTGATTAGTTAGGTTGACATCATAGCCAGCAGTGGAGCGTCTCAGGCCAGATGATGGCGAGGTAGATAGACTAAGACCGGAGGAGGTTGTAAGATTGACTACTCCGTACGATCTTCTCAACTGCCGGGCAAGCGAAAGTATTCAGTGATGATGTGAGGGCTCAGACTTTCATCTGACAATGACGATTATGATAGCATGCTGTGTGAAGCAGCCATGGCAGTGTAGTGAGGAGGGACAACGGAAAGTCAGTCCGAAAGTCGTGTGATCCACGGAAGACCTCAGTTGAGTTTGGATGAATATGTCTCTATGGCCTGATGTTCTAGGGAGAATCCGGTTTGACGCGATCACCTGCAGCACAGCCAATCGGATACGAGCTTAGTCACCCGTCCCGACAGATCACATCCTCGACACTTCAAATTTGGCGATGGAGACTCAGAGAGAGAAAGATACCTCACATTATTAATATACGGGGCAATATATCCGACTTTGGTCGCAAGGAGAGAAAGTGAGTTCTGGTTAATCAAGTTGATGCATCGGTCGACCACAGGCCTGCCCATCTAGATTTTCCATTGAGAAGAGCAGGGACAGGAGTCACGAGCGAGGATGAAAGTACCCCGTAGTCAGTCAGTAGTGAAGATGAGAAAAACCACCGCGGTCCATGTTTAGGCTCGGTCGCGCATCGGCTCCGACTCGTTTCCAGCCCGGCGCAGAAGGTTTGGAGCCCAGATGACGACTGATGAAATGGGATTATCCCCGATATTCTGAGGCGTTGCCCCTTCCACCCCTGCTTCCTTCCCGCCTAAGCGCCCTTACAGGGAAGCATCGAGATTATTTGCAGCCATTCCGATTAGTTGTCCATCAATTAGCGGACCCTCAATGGGTTGTGCCATCGACCTTTCGGCGAGCGTGTCATTTGGCAGCTCCCTTTGTACTAGTAGCATCTCCTCTCCAAAGTCAATTTTCTGGAGCCTTGATTTAGACGACCCTCTTGCTCATCACAAATCTTCTGTCATTTTTGCTTTTTTTCTTTCTTTTTTTTTTTTTCTTTCTTTTCTTTTTTTTGTTTCTCCTTGGTGTCGTGGTTAGAAAATCTATAGGCTGTCAATCAGCTGCGTTGAACTGCCCCACGGCTCCAGGCTTTCATGGAGAGTCTGGCCCGATCCCTCCGGATGAATGGCTTTTTTTTGTATTTTTTTTTTTCCTCCCGTCCAAACCAGCAGGCTGTAATCAAAGAATTAGAGCATAAGATTGTAAGATCTCATAGATACTGTGTAAGAGCGTTAGGGGAAGAAAATGAAAATTAAACAAAAAAAGATTAAGAAAATCCATCAGCATCAGCTGGACTAAGTCGGTTTAAAGGCCGCATCAGACCACCAAGACTCCTCGAAAAAGACACCAGATACCGAAGGCCGGGAATAATATCGCCAAGGTTCGGGATCCTCCGTGGCCGTTGCGCGCTGTCTGGGCTGATGTTGCAACTTGGGTCTCTTTCCTCTCCTAGCTTGAAACCCCGTTGTCTTGCTTTTTTTCCCTTGTGCCCACCGTCATGATGGGTCCCCTCATTCCCCCCCTTCCCGCGTGGAGGAGGGTCGGATGTCGGACTTGCTTGACTAACAGCCATGCGTTGGGTGTCCCATTTGATATTCATTCCCAGTGGCCATGCATCTTAGCCAACCCTATATAATCGCATGATGTCTCCATGCCTCCCACAAAATCCCAGTTCTCCCATTTTTCCATCTTCGACCTTCCAAGCTTCGATTTGACCCCAGGGGTTCGTGAAAAGATATCAACCGCCCCTCTCGATCTAACCGAGACATCTTTTATCTTTACCTGTTCATCGAATATCCACTCATACACCCCTCCCCCAAGGCCAAGGCTCCCAACATGGAATTCACTCTTGAGCCCAATCGACCAATGAAGCATGTCGACCGTAAAGCCCTGTACACCCGTCTAGAGGCGCGCATCACTTACCTGCGAGACTTCCTGGACTTCAATTCAAGTTCGTCCACTTGCAACCTCGTTGACTTCAATCATCAACTAACCGCATGAGCGTAGGTGACGTTGAGGCATTGGTGGCAGGCTCCAAGTATATCAAGGCCCTGATCCCTGCCGTGGTCAACATCGTTTATAAGAAACTTCTCGAGTCCGACATCACCGCTCGTGCCTTCCACACGAGAGATACCGCCGACGATACCCCCGTCGAGGAGTTCTTCACTGAAGAAAGCCCCCAGATCCAACGTCGCAAGATGTTTTTGCGTTGGTACTTGATTAAGCTGTGTTCCGACCCTTCTCAGATGGAATTCTGGCGGTACTTGAACAAAGTTGGGTATGTCTTCCGATCTCTTTGCTGGTCAGTGTATCCAAGGTATCACGTGATACTAACGGTTATAGAATGATGCACACTGCCCAGGAACGTCTGTACTCGCTCAACATCGAATACATCCATATCGGCGCTTGTCTCGGATTCATTCAAGATATCTTCACCGAAGCCCTCATGTCACATCCTCACCTATCGCTCCCTCGCAAGACCGCCCTGGTTCGTGCCATCAGCAAGATCATCTGGATCCAGAACGACCTCTTCGCCAAGTGGAGAATCAGGGATGGCGAAGAGTATGCCGATGAGATGTCGGAGATTATGGTTGACGATAAAGAAGGGTACCTGGGCGACAAGAAGATCCTGGGTGACAACAGCAGCACCTCCGCAAGCTCGAGTGAGGATGACCGCTCAAGCATTCACAGTGGCACGGTCCCTACTTCCACCCCGGCATGCCCCTTTGCAGACATGGCAAAGCCCGCGTCGGAAACCAAGATTTGGGCCGGGTCTAACTGAGCCAGTCGGTGGTCTGGATAGTAATAGAACGTCACGGATGGTATACAGGTTTTCAAGAGCATAGCGGGCGTCAGGCATATGTGTTCCGGGTATCTTGTTTGTTTCCTGGTTTTTGTGGTTTCCAAAGAAGTTGTTTGTATCTTGGAGCATGCATGGACGGTGTTGGGGTTCGCACAGGCAATACAGTAATTAAAGATATCCAGATTTAGATATTGTGACATCACTTCTCCTGCAGTTCTCGGACAGATCTATCCGCTGCACGTCCATACTCGGAGTCGAGGCTATGCCTCTCCTTACCTCTTGGGGTGTCTATAACGGGACCAACAAAGTATATATCAGCCAGAAGATAATGGACGCTCCCTTCCTACCTCGGCAGTCTATGGAGAATGTTATGAGTCCCCTTGGGACTGCGCACAGAGGTCCCCGACTCTCTTTTTGTCAGCAACTTGGCTCCCAAGTACTCCATCGCGTCACTTTGGTTTGGATCCCAACCGACCCCGAGTTGAGGCATCTGCCGGGAGTGGAGGCCACGAGCCGTGTCTACCAATAAGCAGGCAACCTTCTGTTGTTCTTGTTGCGGCAGCTGCGCTAGGGGGGCTAAAAACTGACGATCATTGGATTCGTTAAAAGTAAGGCCCACATGCTCCTTTGGGACAAATGATCTGGTGTCTCCAACATTCGCAGCAAGGGAAAAAAGAAGATGGACCTGCGGTATCCTATCGCGATCTTCCAGTGAGTGAGAGGACATGAAACTCTCAGTCAGCATTGTTTGAAGTAGCATCCCAGTTCGGTGGGGAGTCCTGCGGCAAGTCCTACTAGTGAGGGTGACAGCCGAGGCGGCGCTGACAAGGGGGCTAAACGTTACAACCGTCAACCTTATCTCCGGGTGGGGGGGAAGTGCAGGAAAAAGGAGGAATTCCGCACGCATGGTCGAGTCACTGGTCCTGAAGTCTTGAGTCGCAGCGTCAACCCTGGGAGATGCTCCAGGGGGACTATCCACTCAATGTGCCATCGGGAAGTCTCCCCCACTCAGCAACCGAGTCATGATGACATTTCTCAACAGACGCGCACATCCGCCTGCCAATTAGTATGCAGAGATGCAGAAGCTTCCGTAGTCACAGATGAGGGCCATCCAGACCATGCGCCGGAAGGGCAATATCACAGACAATCTTTCGGCTCCATCACGTCGGGAAAAGTCCCGAAATTGCCCCCTCACTTCGGTGGCTGCAGATGCAAGCAAGACCAGTGTCTGCGACTGACTAGATTATTGGGGTCTCGCGCTTTCCATTATCGCGCCATTTGTTAGTCTTTCACCCCGTCGGTTTGACCCTTCCCCCTCATTTTTTTGCCCTGGCTTGTTGGCTCAACAGAACTTCATACCCTCTCATCTTCTGTCACTCCAGTTTTTCTATCTATCTGTTCATCTCACACCTCTTTCACCCTTCCTCACGCCCCTCTCTCTCTCTCTCTCTTTCTTTTTATTCTTCTAAAATCTAATGCCACATAGACCAAACACTTCTAGATCCAAGTAATCCTCAGCCATGATCGCCAAAAACCCCAACGGAAATACCGCGGTTATCCCGCTCCTGATCAACAACGAGTCTTCTGTGACCGAGACGATATTCGACGTTACGAGCCCCTCGACGGGTGAAGTGATTGACCGTTGCGCCGGAGCAACAGTCGACGATGCCAACCGTGCTGTCGCGGCCGCAAAGGCCGCCTTCCCCGGATGGAGCAAGACCAAGCCGTACGATCGTAGGGATATCCTCATTAGAGCCGCGGATATTATGCTCTCCCGGAAAGAAGAATTGATTCGGTATCAGATGGAGGAGACAGGTGCGGGACGTATGTTTGTGGAGAAAACATTCATGCTGGGAGTCGGGTTCTTGAAGGATTTCGCAGCGCGAATCCCGTCTATCGAGGGCACAGTACCCTCCGTCTCGGAAGATGGCGAGTGCGCAATGGTTATCAAGCAGCCATATGGCGTAGTATTGGGAATCGCGCCTTGGTACATTTACCTATCCCCATTCCCATAAGGCATTAGCTGCGCGTCAGTCTCATGGTCGCTAATATTTATCACCTCGGTAGGAATGCTCCCTACATCCTCGGAACCCGTGCAGTCGCTCTACCCCTTGCCGCGGGTAATACGACGATTTTGAAGGGATCAGAGCTTGCCCCCAAATGTTTCTGGGCAATTGGAGATATCTATCGTGAAGCTGGTCTTCCTGCGGGATGTCTGAATGTCCTTTACCACCGTCCCTCGGACGCAGCGGCGGTCACGAACGCCCTCATTGCTCACCCGGCTGTGCGCAAGATCAACTTCACCGGTAGCACCACGGTGGGCTCAATCGTCGCGGCCACTGCCGGCAAATATACGAAGCCGGTACTCCTCGAACTGGGAGGCAAAGCTTCGGCCATTGTCTTGGACGATGCCAATCTGGACAAGGCCGCCATGTGCTGTGCACTGGGATCCTTTATGCATGTAAGAGCTTTGACGTTGGACAGTTTAGCCTGAAATTGCCTGCTGATTCGAACGTAGTCCGGACAAATCTGCATGTCGACGGAACGCGTTATAGTACAGCGGTCTATTGCAGATAGGTTCAAGCAGATGATGGCGGAGGCGGTGGAGAAAGTATTTGGCAAGCACGGACCGGCATTGGTCCTCGTTGCCCCTGCTGCAGTCAAGAAGAACAAGGAGCTGGTAGAGGATGCGCTCGCCAAAGGCGCCAACCTTGTCTATGGTGACACCGCGGCCATTGACTTGAACAACAGCAGCATGCGGCCTGTGGTCGTTGGCGATGTCGCCAAGAACATGGACATGTACTCCACGGAGTCGTTTGGCCCGACTGTATCCCTCATTGTCGTTGATAGTGAGGAAGACGCTGTGACACTGGCCAATGACACGGAGTACGGCCTCACTTCGGCAGTATTTACGGGGAACCTGTTCCGTGGCCTCAGGGTTGCCAAGCAGATTGAAGCAGGGTGAGTTTCCGTGGGTCGAGATCGCTCTCCGTCTGATCCGAAAGTGCCATCTGCTGACCCCTTTGCGACTATGAATAGAGCTGTACATATCAATTCATTGACCGTGCACGACGAGCCTGTTCTTCCCCATGGCGGCTGGAAGAGCAGCGGATACGGTCGCTTCGGAGGAACCTCCGGTTACGACGAGTGGCTGCAAACCAAGACGATTACTTGGGTAGAATAAGGAAAGAGCCCGGACTGCACAGACTAGCGCTCAACAACCCATGGTCGGATTTGTAATTGGGAGCCTTCGGGGAAGGAGTCGTCCACTAGGAAGACGAATGAGAGGCCACATGGAGCAGACAGATGCCAATAGTTCGATATTGGGACCATGGCTGGCATTATTATGGCGAAGGGGACTGGACTGGACCCTTGATCAGAATACCCACTCGATGCAGGGTTCAGTAGGGCCCAAGCAATACGAAGCACATCATCTTATTTGGCTTTTTCGTTTTCTTAATTTATCTAGCGATACCGGGAAGAGCGACGCCCGGTTGCATCCAAGCCTTTGTCACAATCTGGACCAGTAGCCTAGATCCCTTGACAGCCATGCCGGCCATGCCGGCCATGGATTCGGGTTGGATGTTTTATCACACCTGGCTGATGTGTGGCGGGCCAGGAACCGACCGACTGTTACTGTAAATAGAGCGTGTATCCTGGGAGGCTTTATCAAGCGCCGGCGAAACTCTTGTACTGTGCACAGAGTACTTAGTGTGTAGAACATTGCACATCTTCGGATAAGTTCAATCCGGGATGTAATTGGTCACAATTTCACCGACAGTCTTTGGCGATCGCGTGAACCAAACCAGAAAGCCGCCGCCACTATGATATCCACAGCAGATGGATCATAAGCAGTCAGACTGCAGGTCAGGTATCGGAGTCCGAGACATTCGAACTAGTCTCCGACGCCACTGGAAAAATTCCTGCACTCGCCCACACGTGGTAAGCGATACGACTACATATTGTGTGGATAGGGGAATGTGGCCTCGAGCAGAGAAAGCTTGCCAACATGAAGATCACTGGCAGGCGTGCTCATGAAAGCCATTCCGTGGGTTTTGTTTGGATAACCCGCAAGGTACATACTCCGGGAGTGCTTGTCTCTTCAAGGTTCGCAGTATGACGGATCATCTCCCTTGGTACGAAGGAAGGCATGTTATCAGTTATCGTGCCTTGTTAGTGGCATTGGCAGTCGGAACGAGGGTCCACTAACCCAGTCAGGAACGAGGAATGAGCGACAGGAACCAGAGAATCTTCACCCAACATAGCGATGGATGATTTCATCGAGGACGTTGATCACCTCTCTCGCGGGGACTTCAACGACGAACGGTCAGTTTGCAGAATGAAACCCCCTTGACAATCTGTTGATCTGCGGCCAGTGGGAAGAAAGGAGGGAGTACGTGGGTAGTAACATGACTTGTGTGTTTTTCTTGGTGTCTCTCCGTAGCAATTTAGGCGACCATCCGATTACACGGGGGTGGAGACACCGGACAGGTTCCTTGGTGCCTTTGAAGAGGACACGAGATGCGTTTAGTGCCTCTGGTCCCAATATTCGGAAGGTGGTAATTAAACTCTGTGCCTGGCCACTTCGGTGATTTAACGCTTCGGCCTCGTGGCGTGTCTATGTCTCATTTGTGTCAAACCAGGACGCACCGGAAGAGGCTGGCAAGGCTCCGGAAGGCGAAGCCAATCAAGCACCACTCGATGAGGGGCACTGATCCATCCATTGTAAAATTTACATGAGGGTAATTTCCCAGGTAATTTGCCCTGCGGCTATGTCATTGAGAATGGAAAAGTCTCCGGATAATATTTGCCAAAAATGTGAGATGTGTGTGCGTGTGTGAAAACGCTCGAGCTTCTGGAAGTGAAACAAAAGCTGAAAGGAAAGGACGAGCAGACGAGGAAAGGAGGTGGTGATGGTGATGGTGATGGTGGTGGTGTTGTTTGTTTGTTTTCGCGCGAATCCCTTGCGGGCCAAGTTCCACCAACGACTTCTCTTTCTACTGTGTCCCTTCGTACTCCGTACAGCTGCTGCTAGCCATCAACATCCTTCCTTCTCCGTTCTCGGGGTTCCCCCGTTGTTCCTGGCCTGGTCTGACATAAGGTTATGATTGTTTCACATGTCCCACGGCTTCGCCGGCTTGGAGCTGAGACCCTCTTCTGAGTTAATGGTACCATTTTGCCGAATTCGTGGCTAGTTCTCTATTTCTATGCTCTTGACTTTGGTACCGTTGGCATTAGTTTGATCTACTAATAAAGAGCCTAGTTTTAGGCGAATATACACTGTTACCCACTGGGTAGCATTCAGTAGCTACCCTCCCAC